AAATATGCGATTCCTCTTGGGGGTTTTGCAGCGTTTATCTAGTACACGGCTTGTGAGTTGTGATGTGGGTTTGTGTGGTCTACACCTATGTTACTGAAATAATAATATGACGAAGACGCATTGAACTGTGAGATAGCAACCCGGAACAGGAAGCGCGGTCTCGATTGATCGATGATCGACCGTCGATCGATTGAGCGACATGTGTGCTCGTTAACGGCCGATTGTCGATACGCGTGCTATTCGGTAAACGGGCCAAAAGGATTCAATTCGATTTTCTAGAATAAAAAAATTATTTACACCCCCCTACCCCCTTTTTATATCTATATCATAATAATATTATACATATCTAGTAGATAGTATAGGTATATAATCTATCTGATTGTTGAAGTAAAATAATATGTAGAATTACAGTGATCTCGAACTGATCAACATGATGATTCCAGTAGCTAAATGTATTAATGTACGATATCAGAGGAGGAGGTTTAAAATAAGTATTAACGCGTTACGAAATCAAATATAAACTCAAAGACAGTCGGTTATTGCTTGAAACAATTATTGAATTTTCATTTGCCCAATTCCTATACAATTATTACCTCCTGTATGACCCCTGACTTATTGGTATTAAATTATGCTAACAATTGGGTTATATCGTATATAAAACAACGTTTGATATTTTTATTATTCAGCCATTGTACATATACCGCGGGTTCAGGAAATTAAGTTGATTAGATTGTCTATTTAATTGGATCAGACGTCGTCTGAAAAAAACGATCGGCTTCTTATTGAATTATACCGTTAATTAAATTACCAGCTCACGGGTCGGCATATTTTAGTATAAAATATATTCACAACCTTTTAAGTTATTAAATTATGTAAAGATTTTGTTTTGTTATAACGAAAGGACCCAAAAAATAACTTTTATCAATATTTTTATATAAAAAAAAAAACAATTTGTTATAGTCCATTTAGTCGTTCACTTTATATAATTAAATGTTATATTCAGAAAGATAAAAAATAATTGTTTATTCAACAATAAAAAGTTCAAGCATTGTTTATTGGATTCAAAGAGACTTTGTTTGGAAAACTGTGAAATGTTTATTCTCTATATTGCTATCTTTATAACGTATATTATCCTCGACAATAAAATGTGTACATTTTACACTAACCATGTCAATTGAAGCCTAAGCTTTATGCATACACAATACATTACAGCTTATCCGCGCTGATCGTTGATCTAATATAATTAAATTATAGCATAATAACAAAACGGTTATTATTGAGTGTGCGATATTTCTGTTTCGTCGAGATAGGACGGGATATACATTTTTTAATCATTCATCCATTAGACCTTTGGTACTATATAATATTCTAAAGTATATACTCGGTATACGACATAACGTTATGCATCGCGGTCGTCACGGCCCCTTAATCCCGTCGGTCGTGCAGGGCGGCCCGCGGTGATGATGATAATAATAATAATAATATTGTTATGCATATGCGCCGATATAATGTATTTATAATACCGACTGGGCAATTACCGAAATTGGATTGTGATGGGATTTCTTTTTTTTTTTTTTGCTATCTGTGCCGTACAAGCAACGCGCGCCATTTAACAGCGGCGGCAGTGCTCGGTACGTTTTTACCGAAAAACTGCAATAAACATAATGGCAATAATAACTGTAATACTATCCACCGAGAACGGGCGGTTAGGGCGAATACCCGCCCGGCAAAAGTACTCTCTGTCAAGTGCGATTCGCCGGGGACGCATTATTATGTGTACCTACTACAGTTTGCTCTGTTTGTCCGATTGTTTTATTCGGATCGTTTTTATTTTGTTACTTATTTTTTTCTTTCCCCAGAAAACTCGGCGTGCTGCACATTGTTTATACGGTTTTTCGATTTGGCCCGTCCGAGCCAACACATGTGGACTTATATCCGCACACGAGTATATTATTGTTGCTGTTGTTGTTATTATTATCGTGGTCGAACGGTCAGCGGTACTTTTGGGCGACCCCTTGGGTACACTATATATTATATTGTATATCCAGTGGACATTGGTCAGCAAGCGAACCCTAGTGTTGAACATGCCGTGGCGGTCAATCGCCCGTGGCCTTTGCACAAACAATCGGCGGGCAATCGCGCAATTTATTTTACCGTATGTATGTACGGTATATTATTGTTGTTATTGTAGTGCGTTCTCGACGGTTTTTCAATTATTATTATCATGTCCTACGATTAGACGGCGATCGGGTCGCAACTGTTGTGAATTATAAACCATCGGTGTGCCGACTTTTACGAACCGATAATAATATATATATAATCATATTTTTGACTTTTACGCCGTTATAAATGATTGCGTGTATTGTTTACGACTTGTTTGGCCCCGCGACGCGACGGTTGCCTTGGCCGATTATTATAATAATATCATCACGGAATGGAGTTTACTATTATATTGTGTGTTAACTCCCTCGACTCCCGAGTCCCGACCGACGCGACGGGGGCGCGGCCGTTTTACAATTTTCCTTTCTATTTTCTACCTAAATTCTAAATCTAATCGGTCGATAAATTTCCAATAAAAAAATGTAAAATCTTTAGATTTGAACGAATCATATGGGTATATATACAAATGGGGAATCTTCTTTTTTTGTTGCACTGTCCATAGTGTCCTTAACAATAACGTTAAGTACATTAAATTGTATTTTTTTTAATAGTCATTCATCTTTTCTTTGGTCTACCTCTTCCAGCTTCCTCTTTTCTCCTCTACATTCATCTTCATAACACCTCTCACTGTCTCTGTATCATCTCTTCTCATAACATGACCGAACCATCTCAACCTGTTCTCTTGTGGAGAAAATGAGAAAGAATAGGTTGAGATGGTTCGGTCAAGTTATGAGAAGAGATGTGAGGTAGAGGCAGTGAGAGGTGTTATAAAGATGAATGTAGAGGGGAAAAGAGGAAGAGGTAGACCAAAGAAAAGATGGGTGGACGGAATACAGAGTGATATGATGATAGCAGGGGTGATTGAACGAGATGTAGAAGACCGAGCTCTATGGAGGTGTAGGACCCCATGTAGTTGGGAGTGTAAGGCGAAGATAGAGAAAGAAGAAGAAGAAGAATAGTCATTCATCTAGAATATTTCACATTATATTTATATATTTTATATTATATTTTCAGTGTGCTAAGTTGCAAAGTATTTTAATCATAAAAACACTCAGCATAGTGAGTTGGCCTATTTTAATGAAATTATAATTTCAAATTAAATCGTGTCTAGTGATATAGTGTGGTTGTTTAAAATAAAAGAGTAATCGGGTCTTAAAAGCGATCCTGTATTGATGGCGATGGCTGTTGTGGTTTTTAACAATAGAAAAAGTGTAAAAAGTTTTTGGGGCTTTTTATATCTGGTCGCCATAATTGTATAAATAAGATTATTTTTTAATTTTGCAGGAAAAATAAACATTTTTTTTTAAACATGGTGAAAGGGTGGAGTGAATAATATTATATTTATCCTCATTACCAAATCAGTTGGGAAATTCTTCTATATTTTTAGTTTAAAAACATGATAAGAGATAAAAGTTTTAAAATTGTCTAATAGTGTAAAATAACATAAACTAGAGTGTATCTAAAATGAGAAAGTACAAAATTAAAAAACGAGTGATATATGTATAACCGGTTCCCTCGGGTGACTACAACAGTATTAATTATCGCCACTGACCCCGGACAACGGAAACCTTTGTTATTTTTTTCGAAGAAAAGCCCTCGAGCGAGTTCTTTGTTGGACTGAAAAAACCAATAATAATAACATATAGCACGTCGTCAGGGGTTTTTTATTTTTGGATTTACCACCATTGAACCCTTAACGAGTGGAGATACTAATGAGAAAGCCACGCGACCGGCGCAACGCACGGCATCAAAAGAATATGCAGAATACACAATATTAGTGTAGTCTCGCAGAACGGGATGTTTTTTTATTCTCAAACAAAACCGGCCCGTCGGTTAATCCTCTCTTTATGAAATTACTAATATTGAAAATAACCAAACACAATAATAATAATGGCCCGTTGCCGACGAACTTTGTGTGTGTAACGAGACTCGATTATGCAAACATCATCATCATCATCATTGTAATATTATATTGTTGTGAGTTGTGACCATTCGGTACCGTACAGTGTGTGTATACCATTATAATATTATACATAGTGGTCATCGGGGCACCTGCGTTACTGTAAACGCTCACTACGTGTATCCAATATAATTGCCATTTCGGTTGTCTCGTTATTTTGCGTACAATACAATATACAATGTATCCCATGCATAATAGTTTATGCAAAAAAAAAAAAAAGAGAGTGTACAGTTTAGATTTAAACATCTTATTTCGACCAATATGATCGTTTGTGTGATGTGTCTATATATTGTAATATAGTATGTGTAATATTATGTAGTATGTACATCTGGAGTAGGAAAAAATCGTTATGACACTTGTTATGCAGTTATAATGTTCAATATTATGTCGTTGTCGATTGGGTTTTTTTATTTAATAAAACAATAACATTTAATGTTTATTGTTGTAATGCTGCTGTACTTAAGCCCTAGCCGGCGCTTACTCAAATAAATACATTAATAAATAACGACATTGTTAATCGACTCTATACCGAGTCGTCTGCAAAATTAGTTAACATTTTAAAAATAAGCAACACTTGACTTGATCGATCACACCTACAAAAGTCGAGCAAATATAATTTATTTCCATGGCATGTCCTATGTATCCAATATATTCCAAGTCTACCTGTCTATTATACACGTTGTACTGTATCGAGTTAACAAAATATATTAATAGCTGCAATCGAACCCATCCCCAATAGATACAATATGTAGGTACGAAACCGAGTTAGGGCATTTTAAAATATTATAATATATATTCAATAAAAAAAAACAATATTTTATAAAATAACAATGTATAAAAATAATTATAAAATTGAAATTTGTGTATAAAATGTTAGCAATTCGGTGTAAACGCTTAAATTTAAAAAAATCCATATTGAAATACTCTGAAAAAGTAATTATACATTATAATAATTTATCGTGTCGTTCGACTACGATTATATTTTTAAGGAGATCGCGGTTCCTTAAGACTTAAAGAGTTACATTTTTTTTCTTTGGCCGGTATACATGTAATATATGACTAGAATAAGGTTGAGCTTAAAATTAAAATAAAAAAATATTTACAAAAATATAAACTAATATTTTAGTATTACTAATCGAGAACACATTTTTAATCACAGCGATAAAATACCAAACATGTACAATAATCTTTATTGAAACATAACCGTCAGTTATGTTACGCCTACCGGGCCTACCCGGTGGTACACATATAATATGCCGGCCGATCGTTAATAGGCCACTTCGGCACCCCACGGTCTGTACGGTTTCATTTGTGAAGACACCGACGAGTCTGCGGATTCGTATTGTTGTTGTTGGTGCGGTTGCAGACCGTGGTGCAGGTCGTGGTAGGTCGGCGGCGGGGGTGGTGGCGGCGGCTGTTGATGGTGCATGGGCGGCGCGACCGGTTGCAGGTTGTGCAATTGATTGCCGTCGTGCTGCTGGTGATGGTAATCGTGTTGGTGGTGATGATAATCCGGCACGGATGTCAGGGCGGTCAGAGTGCCGCCAGCGTCGCCGGCGGATGATTTGATGTCGGCCGGCGCGGCCACTGACGTTTCGTAGTTGTTGTTGTTGTTGCTGTTGTTATTGTTGTTGTTGTTGTTATTGTTGTTGTGACTGGATGGTGGCGGAGGTTGTGACGTCGCCGGTTGGTGTGGCGAGATGGTCGGCGGGTACTGTTGGTGATGGTGATGTAACGCCGCGCCCGCAGACGGTGGCGGAGGCGCGTGGTGGCCGTACCAAGACGGCGGCGGTGCAGCCGTGGCGGCCGGCGACTTGGCCACATACTCCCTCTGAGCGCTGTAGTACTGCAGGTGCGACAACAGACGTTCGCGCAACGGGTCCCGTCCGTTGAGCCCTTCCACCGACTCCAAGTACCTAGCCACTTCGGCGGCGCACTCTCTGAACCCGATGTTGTGGTAGTCCATCGCGTACTTGGACGGGTCGTAGGCCAAAGTGTCCAGACCTGAATAAAAAAACAGAAAAAATCAAATTAGCTAATCGTAAAAAAACGCGAGACCTTTTTGACAACACAACCAGAAAGCGCATTTCCCACGCCTTATTGCCTTTTAACGGGTTAACGCGCGGGGCGAACGAACGCGGTAATAGCGTATAAAGCGCGATACCGGGGGCGGTGGTCGCACGGTGGTGGCCGTGGGAAAAGGGTGTCGGCAGGCGCGTAGGCGCTTTTGCGGCTCAACGAGGGGCAGCTGACACGGAAGGACGTTCTCACGGTATGATGGTCTCACCCCACGACCTGCAGTACTTTAGCATTCACTTCCCGTAAATCCGATTTAATGGTAAAAACGCTAAATCGCTTGTGATTTATATTTACTCCATTTCACACACGGTAAACATACATTAAATACATATGAAGCACACAAGGCAAAAACAATGAGCCTTCATTTGAACTACACGTGCGGCCCAAAGTTTTTGTTTTGCGGTCTTCAATTAAAAATAATATGTGTGTCAGGGGTACGTGATAACCCTTACCCCTAACTTTCGTCGCTGTCTTCTAGTGTCTAATTTGATAATATTATAATATGTAGATGTACTCGAAAATGTAATATAAACCAAGGGTAAACGCGGTTTAATCCAATTTACATTAAACACGGTCAAGGTACTGTTTAATAAGTTTGTGAGTTTCTGGTTACGGTAGACAATATTTTATTTTCACCACTCTAATACTATTGTTTTTATTACGGCGCAACACGGTCGGTGTGATGGAAGACCACAACGGCGTGTGTCATGCACCGCAGAAGACACAGTCTACTATATTCTTGGATTAGGGACCGGATGCCGATAAACGGTTTCTACACGGTAATCGACCCTTTCCCCCTATCTAGCCGTTGAAAGCGTACGGTTATAAAATTCTGACGGGAAGTCGAAGGCAGGTGCGCATAAAGATAACGAAAATAAAACCGATTACTTTTATTACAATTATTATTGTATAATTTGTGTCGTTGTATGGTTTGACAACCCGAAAATCCGGCGGCGCACGGTGGTTGCGCTTAAAACTATTATTACAATAATTTAGGTACATAAAATTGACCGTCGCTTCGAGACGGTCGGGATGAAGAGCTATACTGTACACAATATGATTTAATACAATCGAAATTACCTTTGGAATGGATCATTTTCAAGTGGTCGACCGTGAGCTGCAGTATTTCGGCCTTTTCCAACTTGGCCGACCCTTGTTTTTCGTAGGCGGTGGGCACAAGTCTTCTGAGTTCGGACAAGCTGGTGTTTATCCGGTCCCGGCGCCTCTTCTCGATGATTCCCCGCCGTTTCTTCCTAGTCAACGAGTGTGGTGTTTCGGTGCCGTCACCGGGCGACGAACATCTACAGCAAAGATAAAACAAAATACATTAGTCGACGGAAGAAAAGAGTTTTATTTGTTCTCTTCTAGTAGGAACGTTAATCGTTATTATGAGTTATTAGAGTTCCAAAGTCTAAATATTAACGCGAGTACGTCCAGCTCGGCACTAGACCGGCTCTAGCTATTTTGTAGAGTATAAATAAACCCAAAAAAGTTATCCGGTTTTAATTAATTTTTTTTGTGAGAATTTTTTTAAAGATTAACCGAACTTGGCCAATCATGTATGATATTTTTGGATTATTCGTTTTTCGGTACTTACTGGTCTTTGCTGGACTCTTCGGAAAAAGCGTCGTCGCAGTCGTCACTCTCGTTGTAGTGTCTCTTGGTGCCGTGGGGGTGACGCACTGGTGGCGCGGGCACCGAACTCCAAGGCCCGTAGCCCCAGTGCGGTTCGGTGAGCGGTGGCGCGGCGGGCACGGGTTCGGCTGCCGGACCGCCGCGGGGCACCACCATGCGCCACAGGTTGACCGCGGCCGGGTCGCAGTAGCCCAGGTAATCGTTTGGCCGGCCGGCGTCTGCCGGGTACGCGGCCCGTTGATGATGATGGGAATGGTGATTGGCCGCCACTTTGACTGTGTGCCGGAACGCGTGTTTAAATTGATAATAAAAAGCGATATCGAATCAAGTCGACGAGGTTATATGAGGTCACGTGTCCGAATATGTCGGTGTTGTCTTGAAGGAAGCGGACGGTGCGCCACACGACGGACCACTTGTTGTTGACGTAGCGTCCAGTAAGTGTGTATTAAGCGGAGGGTAGTTATTAGTTAAGCGAACGCGTGCGCGGTAGACGACGTGAGCCGGTCGACTGCCGTGGCGCGTGGACGACCGGCGGCCGTCCGAACGGCGGGCCGCTGCACACGCCCCACAACCCCCACCACCATCGCGGCCGCCAAAAAAAACCCCGGACGCACGGCCACAACAATCGGACGGGGCGCCCCTTTATTTTTTTTTGTTTTCCTTCCGTACCTCACCTCAGGCGGTCGGATGCATGCTACCGCCGTCGCCACTGCGGAAATCGCGTGTACACTTAGTCGAGCCCGCGACAAAACGATGCCGTGCCGTGTGCCGGAGATCGGCCACGCGGTGCCAAACGACAGCGGCGGTGGCGGCCGTCTTGGCCGCACACATGGCGGCTAATTGTACGCAACAACCCCCGGCGGTGTGCCGGACGGACGCCGTTCTTAAAGTCCACAACGTACACTGTTGCGTCCACACTGTACATGTGTAATATTATTATCCAGAACGGTTTTGCGGTTGTGGTTAATAAATATACTTACAAGCGCACACTAAAAACTCAACAAGTGCGCTAAATGAGAAACACGAGTTTATTTGGCACAACACGTGAACAACAGTAAATAAAGGCCAACGCAAACCGTTGTAAACGTCGTCACGTGTAATCAAATTAAAACGCCACCGCGAACCCTCCTTGACCTTTTGTGTTGAATACCGACGCATAGTAAATATATGTAGTTGGTGCTTACACTGTTTCAAACACACGAGATACCTTCTTACAGTTGGTCGATCTGCCTCGCTAATTTCTGAATTTCTATTCCACCGTGTGTTTAATATTTTATTTAGATGAGTCCTAAAAAAAGGCACAATATAAGTACCTAAATATCTTAAAAAATATCGAAGTTGTTTCTAATGCAAAAAGAGTTGGCTGTTGTCAGTTGTGTTCTTCAGATCTTTTAAAACGTTTGTGTTTAGAAAAAATAACATTTCCCTGACGTATTGGAATTCTTTACGTATTCCCTCTCCTTGAATAATAGCGATTCAAACATAAAGTTTAATATTTCTGCAAACTTACCCGGCCTAGTTTGTGTTTCCCAGACGAGAGGAGCGACGCGTACCGGCCGTTTGCGCTCGTGAAGTCTTGTGAGTTGCGATATTACAATATGTTTAAGTTTAAGCACGTAGGCCGTAGCCGGAAAATTTCCCTAAGGACGGCAATACTTTTTAGCTTCTACATTTTTAATCAAATTCGGTTGTTGTACACAAATTTCTTCATCTCTCTTCTTCTTTTAAGTCCAATATAATCCCGTGGTCCGAGACACGTGTATCGTTATACGGTTTTCAATAGCCACGTCCAAGTTGTTAACGTACTCACTAAGTAGTCCTTTAAAATACTAGGCTTTAATCGCGGCTCGTCAAGACTATGTAAATGGTCTGTGTGTCCCCTGTTTTTACCGATTAAGTGAATCAAACAGTGGTGACATAACTGGTGTATAACTTATATGATTATGCTGAAGTGTTGAAAAATTAATTTTATCTTTTGCTACGTGTAAGGCTGTAGCCATAACATAATAATATATATTGTACGTATGAAGGAAATTCGTGTGATCAATAGCCCCCACCGCCCTCATCGGTTCTGTATATGTAACGTAAAAAAAAAAAACTATACTTAAACACATTGACTTCCTTCCGTTGTTACGGTCGGGTAAAAAATACAAAACGAAAAATCGGTTCATATTATTGTTCTCTCGGTGATATTATGATTTTGTTAAATTCAAACGGACAAAAAATCTCGAATACTAATATTATGGTAATTTTGTAAGTGTCTTTATAATATGTACACTGTACAGATCCAATAGTGGTCGATGAATAACAATAATTTGTTTCGACCCGCGTCATTAAAATAATAGACTTAATTATCGCAGGATGCGACGGCAATGTTGTTATGGTTATTGTTGTAATTATAAAATTATAATATTGTACACAGTCTAGTATAGACAAGGAAGTCGCGTCCTTTTTACTATCGGATTATGCTCTACGTCTACATAATAAGTTTAATTAATATGCTTGAAACTTACAGACGCAAGTATGTTTAAAAACGTTTTTACTTTTTAAGCTCTGCGGAGCAACTATATAGCCGAGTTTAACTTGTTATTTTGTAACTCAAAACTAATTAACTGCGGTTATAATATAAGAGGCTTGGCCTAAACTATCCTAACGGCTAACCGTATAACTTTATTTACGGCTAAGATTAATATTACATTTTATTCAAAGTAAGGTGCAATTTACCGCTAAAAAGCTTATACGTAATATATTATACTTAAATTTATCTGAAACCAAAATTATTATTTTAAAACAATTGCGTATTTTTTAAATAAAATTGAAAATATCTCTAAATGAATAGTTCATTTGTAAGTAAAACGAGCACGCTGTGGATAAATACATTTGTAAAATGTTGTGGTTTAGAATCTTAATTTACTGTAATTTTTTCATATTATTATATTACTTTAGTTATGCAATAAAAAAAATTATCTTTATATTGAAAGCATCTAATGTTAGCAGTAGGGTTAATAGCGGTAAAACAAATATAGTGAAAAATAATTTTTCACACAGAACGTTTATGAACTATACTTTAGTAATAAACTTAATCGGGTCGAGTACCAAAGCGCTTTTAATCGATATTTTTATTTAGAATAATTTATATTACTGTGGATTTTTTGTTTTGTACATTAAAAAAAAAGGGGTTGATAATACAAACTGTCGGATTGAAATCAAGACACTACATTAATTTATTGTTATCGGTGACCCGTTTATTCATTAAATATGTCACTCACTTTTTCATAAAATAATATCAATTTTGTAGTTATTCTTTTTGAAAACATTTATTTATTTTTATTTTGTTACAATATTATAAAATGACTAAATATTTACTTTTTTTTAGTATTTTCCAGAGCTCTATTAAATTTTGAAACTTAAACGGTAACGGTTAAAATAAAGAACAATTTACTGAAAATGTTGATTGGCCAATATTCAGTTTTGGATAATTATATTTATGTATCTTTTACATTTTAATGATAAATGAATAATTTTGTTTGTCGGGGTAATTATTGTCCGGGATAAGTCGAGGAGGCAGATATTAAAAATAAATGTATTGAAGTGTTTTATTATAATCCTAATGTATAATTTGTATTAGGTATAAGATTTAGCGGTAACATACAAATAGGTTGAGTTGAGTAAACTTAAAGTTTACTTCATAGTTAGAAAATAATAAACAATAATTATATTATTTATATCCAATAAGAATATACTTTATAGGCGTATGGCATCAAGTCATGGTTAAGTTTTAAAAAGGAATTTACTCTAGTCAATTTATGGTTGTTAGGTATTATACGGTCGCCGATTGGATATAATGTGGAAATGAATATATTAATTTAAAACATGCATTCTCAATTAAATTGTGGCTAACATTATGAAACATAAAGGAGAAATTAGATTTTCTACTTTTGTCCGACGGCGATCAATCATTATAATGGTAATTATTTTATTTTCTGGGAGGGGAAGGGGAAGTCATGCGTAATATAGAGTAATAAGTATAGACTACATTCAGAGGAAATCTGTAACGTCATTAATTTATGTAACATTTATTTAGATAACTAAATTATACTTATAAAAATTAAAAACTGTACAACAACATGCGCCATTACATTGTACTGTGTATCTTGAAAACTTGCGATTTTTTTTACATAAAAAAGGAAAAATTCCGTTTACAACCTAATCTATAATAAAGTTGCCAAGAAACTCGTGTATCTCTAAAGAATTGCAATCGGACCATTCTAAGTAGGTAGTCAGGCTTTTTGATGTTAAACGTCCAAAAAACAAACCGCTTTCAATCACCTTAACCTGTACTTTATTGGCACACAATCATAATGATATACATCAGGTGTCCCCTGCTTGCTGTAAGGTGGCGTGTGCCGGGCACGCGTTCGTGGGGCTCCAGGTCGGTGGTGAATACCCCCCTATTTTTTCTCTTCCCCCCCCCTCCTCAGATAGTCTATACAGGGTTTGTGTGAGACTAGCCCCGAGCACCGTTTCCCACGGACGGTGGCCGATTTCCCGAGCGAACGGGCCGTGGGGGAGTGATACGTTCCCCGGGCGGCTTTCACCCTTCATTGTGTTCCGACGGTCACACGCGGCCGACCCTCATCGTGCAAAACTATTATAACATTATACAGAGTGACGACGACTGAGTACTGACTATAGGGTGTAGAGGAGAGGACGGTATAATATAGCGGCAATGTATCTAAGCACTGTAAATCGGCGAGTGCCAAACAACGAATCCGCAAACACCACCAGACGCGCTACAGCCCTTTCCACGATTTCCTAACAGGCCGCCCACGCGTTATTAATTAAACATTACAATACAAAGGGGTTGAAGAGTATTAAAGTTATATTTTACAATACCGATTATACGAGTACACGGTAATAATAATAAAACAACGTTTCGCGTGGGAAATATTTTCTTAATTTCCGCCCCCTTCCCAATCGATTAGCGCAATATCGTTTTGTAGATTTTAATCAACTCGTTATTATGTTTGTTTCACTAGGCGCGAGTATTCGAGTAAAAATTATCTCCGTACATTTAGTACACGTCCAGTTGCGATATTAATCTGGTTTATGACCGCAATATTAAAACTACAAATCCATCAAACGGGCTGATTGGTGAAAATTAATAAGTCGAACGTTAACATTTTTTAAAAATGTATACTCAATTTGTACACGAACAGGTTTAAAATTAAACTCTGCTCGACTAAAAGGTTCGCTAACCATTTAAATACTACTTGCCTGTGTTTCCTTTGTAGATCTGCATAACAATACAATTTTAACAGACTTTTTCGACGACCGACCGGCGTCCGGTTTTGTTTAATTGAAAAAAGTAATTTCTTCGGACAAACGCCGCAAAAAGCCGCTTAATTGTTTTTTTTCTAACTTGAAAACTAAATGGCTTGTTCAAAGAAGTCTCATAGTACGGTTCACTTTGATACGGCGTCGTACGACATGGGCTTTTAATTTCATTTGCGTGCATTTCCCTTGTACGTTATTATGCATAGCATTAGAAGATGTCTCGAAAATATATGAGTTGTTTGTCAATTTAAAAAAAGGGACATGTGAACGCCGACATCCTTCCTGTAACGTCAAAAAACGCATTAAAATACAGTCTTTGCACTTAGACCCGCATGTCAACGATATTATAATATATTCGCAGCGCCAAACACACTAAGTATGGTCGTCATGACTTATGTAAAAAAAATAAAAATAGATTCGAATTACATATTAGGATATTAATTTTAATGAGTATAGTTAAGAGTTATACATTTTGTGTTGTATATATTTATAAACGTAAGGTTCGACTTAAATCGGTTTATAGGCAAGGCAGTGCTTGAGAGGCCGGGAGCCAATACTTAGTTATCCCCTCCCTTCAAATAAAAAACATCATAATTTAAGTCTATTTTTTTGAAGTATTGAATTTTTATGATAATAAATAGTAATACTATATTATATTAACTTATTTCTGATTTTTATTATATTACTTCTCTACATAGTAGCTATAACTACATAAAAAATAAATATAAAAACATCTTTATTTTATAAAAAATAATTGTAATATTAAAATTAAAGTAAATTAAGTTTCTATACAATGAAAGTATTTTTTTTGAATTTTTGTAAAATTTGTTTGTCGACATTTTAATGTTTGTTCAAAAGTCATATTTTGTAGAAGTTAAAACATAATTTTCAGTTTAAAAAAACATAAAACATGATAAATTATCTTGTAAAAGCGAATATCGTTCTCTTTTTTATCTCTGACCGATTTAGAAAACGTTCTTTCAGCAGTACAATTAGCTACTAGTATAGTTGGATATATTCTAATGACAATGAATGAGATATTAATAATATCACATTCGTTCAATGACGTCCATCCGTTTGTATATTGACTTTTGTATATAATATAAAGCTGACGACCCAATAGGCATGGTACACAATATATTGGCTTCTAATATCTGTGTTCCCCGGTGATGTGCCCCCTCCCCCTTAATCCAGTCTTGTTTGTAGGATGTATAATATATATATATATATTTATTTTTATTATTCGCGTGGTATTATTATTATTATTTTTGTTTTATTTTCAGTTGTGACCAAATCGTAAAAATTATGCGTCTCAACTTGAACAGTAATGAAGAGTCGGACATCAAAGAAAGATTCGTGAACGGCGTAAAGGTAATAATAACAGCGTAAGGCGTAATTATACATTTTCAAAATTAAATTCTAAAACTGATATAATGTTTTAAAAAAACAAAAAAAAAGGCAAAGACGGGATTAGTTCGGATAAACGATTCTAACAGAGGATCGATAGCGGTGCGGTTGGTGTTGACGTTGGAATGCCTGAAGCTTCAGAAGAAAGAGGATGTGGACAATCATCCGTCATCGTCGTCGTCGGCCGAAGACACCTTAGATAACTTTCAGCCCAGCCCGAACTACTATGTAAGTTAAAAAAAAATTACCCTAAATTAATCATAATAATAATAGATAAGACGTGGCTAAACGACTTTATAGAGTTTCAGAAACTTTAAAAGTTAATATGCGCATTGCGTGCCGCGAATTCGGAATAGATTTTTGATCTCATCAATCTCACTTAACGTTTGTTATTCTTTTTTCGCGATAAAGTCCTTCCGGACTCCGGTCGACCCGACGTCTTGTCAGCTCAACTTTCCTTTCAATCATTATTTCTCAGCCGTTATACATTTCGTGTCCATCCATCTCAGCCCGACAGTAATTTATTTCTCATTATTCTTACGCCATAAAATATTATTCGCTAAAGTTGAAAACATTTATTTGATTTTTTTTTCAAATATTTCAATTACGTTTTAAAAATAATAATAATATTATGCATAAAGATGTTGAACATTGCAGGCGCGTGGCGGAGAGAGATAAGGCGGCATTGTATCAACGCCGTTTGTTCCTCCGGGTGGGGCAACTATCTGGGGGAAAAAATTACCACCTGCACCTCTCTCTGGGGCCCATTTTTTTGGTAGCGTTAGGTCGGCAGCCAGCTATAAGCCCAAAAATGCCAAATCTAAACCATCTAAGACCCGATTGGCGGGATAAACGGACGTTAAACGTAAGAGAGAGAGAGAGATGTTTAATATTACTAACTGCTTTTAGTAAATAATTAAATCGACACGCAAACAACCAATATAATTATTGCATACTCAAAAGTCCGCTAGTTGGTTTAGATCCAACTCTATGTAACTTAACGTCACTAATACTTATCCGGTTTGTTACACGGTTAATAATATATTATAATTTGATGCAGCTGAGGTATGTGACGGTGACGAGAAAAAACGGCAGCCTCGGCATAAGCGTAAAAGGCGGACGAGAGAACAACTTGCCGATACTTATTTCTAAAATACCCGAAGGAGGAGCGGCTCACAATACCAAAAGATTATTCGTGGGCGACGCAATAATCAAAGGTACCGAATTGTCAATTCACCAACGTTATTTATGCGCTTTTACAATTTTTTATTTATTTATTAGGCACTTAATACGATTATTCCATAATTAATGTAGTTAGCACAGAACCAGTTAGGAATGAGTGTATAAAAGTTTTGGAGTTACCTAAATAATAATTATTTACCTTCAGTGTTCAATGCAATAACGGACTAAGCCACAAAAATTAAAAAATGTTTGCTGGTAATAGTAGGTACTAGAGCTGAGACCTCGAATCGAATTTTTCTATTTTTCGAATTATTCGAATAATACTATTCGTATGAAAATAATTCGAAAATTAAAAATAATTTAATGCAACCCTGGTTTATTTGTGTTTTTTTTATTTTCCACTAGATGACGGCACTTTGAAAAATGTTAATTACACTTAGTACAGTGTAAATAAAATAACATTATAGTGATAAAATTCCATTTTTTGTTTTTGAGGGTTAGTCGGCTGTTGCGCCTCGTATATTATACTCATAAGTAAGATAAGATGAGTTGAAAAATCAAGTCAAAGACCCTCCTAGAGGGTGCTACAGCTAATGCGAGGTTCCTAATTATCTAGTGCGTTCCAACTTCCATTTATTTTAAGTCGAATTTCGCAGACTTCGATAAATCGAAACAAGAAAGAGGGAAGTGAAAAACTAAAAAAAAGGCAATAGAAATCGGATTAGAACAAACACAAGATTGACCGAAGTAGTAATATCCTAATCTCGTTGAGCATTTCTCGTTACAGTCGCGTCGTTTACGACCAAAGGCTATACGTACTATTTTTTATTAGAACTACACGCTTAACCAAATATTTCGCATTTATACATTTTCAGTTAACGACCATTTGATTACAAACGTATGCCACGACGATGCTTTGCAAATGCTACGAAGTTCCGGACACAACGTGACGCTATTAGTTAAGCATTACAAAGCAGCAGCACCGTTCTTGCTCGGGCCCAGAGGTATTTTTTCATTTTTATAAATTTTACTTTTATACTTTGGTTGAAATCATACACGTCTAAGTTCAAATAAACACATATATTAATAAATTAAAAAACGATAAGCATAATAATTAATTAATTAAAATCGTTTATGAACTTTGAGCGTTAAACGACTGCGATTATTGAGTATACTTATTGTAATTATGATTATAATTTACTGCTAATTATATACCGTCTATAAATAGTTAGTATGTGTAGTGCTTATAAAAAGTACTGCACTAAAAAAAATTTTTTTATTGTTAAGTGTTTCACTATGTTATATTTTGTTAATGAGGGAAAAAATAAATACTAAAGACTTCATGCTTTATGATTAAAGAATACTTATCAATAATTCGGATTACCTAAATACAGAAATGGATATCGTATACGTACATGTATAGTACCCCTACTAAATTAAAATAGTGTAATTCGATTATACTGATAAGTTAATAGAATATTGAGCCTTATGGGTAAGATGTTTCAATTAGGGTTAATAATTCGTTAGTTGATATTGTCTGTGTTATTATCAAAGAATCTACTGTCAGGTAAGAGATTACTTGGTGTGGCACAAAATTAATTATGTTTACAGTTTATGAATATCTTATAATAATCTCATTTTAATTGACGGTTTACAAATGATTAATGCTAATATTGTTAATGTCGGTTTATCGAATGGTTCGTGACGTGTATCTAACCAAATTAAATAATTATTAATTGTTGTTGTTACTTATCAAAACGCATAACGAAGTTAATCTAGTTTTAATTGATATTGTAATTGTTTCATTAATAAAACGTATATCGAGTAACACGAATACACTGGCTTTAATTGCCTTGACTTACAATTACAGAGTATTTTAATATAAATTGTAACTGGACGTTATTTAGCCATTAGAGGTATAAGGAGATTTGTGTTCAATCTAGTTATAGCTTTGGCCTTTGGGTTTGTCCTTACTCGACTGTGAATAAATTAGGTAGGTAAATGTGCACCCCATGGGCCCCACTAATAGAAAATAGAGATTCCAGACTCGGGGAAGATGTTTTGAATTTATATGTTAAGCTGCTATACTTGACACCGTGAATTACTTATATTTTTGTTTCGTTAAATATTAATTAAATAACGTAATTCAAAAGTAAAGTCTATGGGTTATAACTTATAATATACTATTATAATCTTTAACGTCTAGTGATAAACATGTTGATAATATTACCATTTTATAAATATATATTGTTTTTAATTTAAATAAGTGTTTATTAAAGGTAATAAAAAATATTTCAATAAAGTTGAATTATTCGATTATATTATGTAAAAAGCATAAAAATATTAATTTTTATCATTTCGCATATCAAAACAATTGGATACTCCGTAATGGTTTTTTAAATTAAAAACAACACTAGTAAACACTGAACACGTGTTACCTTTCTGTCATTTTGCCATAATTAACTTAATTGCCTACGGTATTTCAATAGCATTCAGTAATTTGTACTGGCCAATGAAAATCAGTTGTTTTAACTGATAAAAATCTAGAATTATTTAAAATATTATTTCCATTCGGAATTCAATTTCCAGGAAATAACAATAACAATAATGGAGAGAGCGAAGAGGAGGAAGACGACGTTTGGGTGGATTTTATCTCTAGTGAGTTAAAGAAATTTTTTACCTATATGGTCCGCTAGATTATTGCAGGAATTCAAAGTATGATCATTGCATTTTTTTCCAGTTCCCTTATTGATGGGTTACGTGACCAGGTACGTGCAAGGCACCGACAAGCTGCGGAGAAACGGGTTCGAAGTGCACGGGATGAACGGCACTAATTCCAGTATTATTCACTGTGACAACGTCAACAGTTTGTCCGAATGGATCAAATGCATTACGGAAAACATTGCTAACTTAGCGGAAATACAAGTTCGTTTTGTGTGCTGGAGTTGTTCGTTATAAATAGGACCTGAAATATGCTTAAGCATGCAAGATAAATTGTTTAGTATTTTCTCATCTAGACTCTAGTTAATTTTCAGCCTACTCAGTAAAAAAATACAATTGCCCGAACTTCTAGGGCCCCATTAAAAAATGACTACTAGGTACCTACTACCTATAATTATAATATTGTTGTTTTCATTTTTTTTTTTTAGATCAAGCTGTACAATTTAAATTTTGGCATCAACGAAAAAATCGAATACATGGGTTGGGTAAACGAAGGCGTGTTGAACAATAACCATCCGTGGCAAAGTTACTGTGCCAGGTTTATGATAATCAGAGGGCGAGACGTTCTGCTGTTCGATACACCTCCAGTGAGTACATACATAGTTTATCAAACCGCTAGGCGCTAATAAGATATTACTTAATTTATCTTAGGCCAATTCTCACTTAATACCCTTACATACAATACTGTTGACCTGAATATATAATTAAGCTCTTCAAAAAGGCTATCGGGTATTTTAATGTTGAACTTTTTCTAATGAAAAGCGTTGGCAGACAATATGAGACCTATTCTATTATCCGTATATTAGAAAATATACCATTTTCTTGAAAATTTAAAGCGGTTTAGGCATTTCCTTAGGTAAACAAAAGAGAACATATTGGGCTATTTTGTTTAATGTAATCTCCACTATGGCTAATGCAGTCGTGGGTGTAAAATTGGTTTTTTAAACTCAAGACACAGAATTTATTATATTTTGAATTTTCCCAAAATAATTTACTGTTCGCGTGCCGGGATTTGGTGTCTTCATGTAGTTTAATTAGAAAACTTTTGCGCTGGTGTTTGTGTGTATGGAAGTTCGTGATTCCACAATAAAGTTTTCTGACCAAAAAGTAATAACTTCATGCATTATAAGGTTCTACTACAATAAAATTAGAACATTTACACGTGCGCATCGTATAAAGAAACTAAATCTTAATTACTGTCACTATTTGCTACACGAAAACTGTGATTCCAACTGGGTTTTCTTTTTTCGCGAGACAAAAGCATTCTAGCAATAATATTGGCCAAACTTTTTAAGTACCTATGTCCCATGCACGTTAGCTCTTGAACTATGTATTAAATTTAAACAAATATATTAATGGTTCAATCACACTGTCATTTATTAAGAAGCAAAATCTAGGCAATACTTGACACAAGTAAATATATAAATCGACTTTGATCATGTTAACTTATTATCAGAGTAATTTATAATTGATTTGTAGTACATAGTCATTGTATTAATTTGTATTGAACTTATCAGAGTCAAAGCCGTTTTTATTATGAAAAACTACTTACACTATAATATTATGGTTCTTTAAGGGTTTCGCCAAACTGTCCGTGCAATAACATATTAGATTGTTCTGTGTTCAAGTTTTTTCTGGTTCTTAAAATTACTATAAGCATTATTATAATAATAATTCTTATTTTATTTTATTTAATACCAGGCGTCTAGTACGTTTCATTAAACTAAATATCAGATAAAATGTCACGGATTTTCGGTACGTTGCTATGAGAGTTTGAAATTATTCTTAATTTAAAAAGTTAATTAAATATATACTTTCCAATTTAAGTTTCAAAAGTTGATAGCGCATTGGGAAAAAAATAAAGAAGTTAAAAATTTGATTATTTTCTATTATTTTAAAATAACATAAAATAAAACTAAAAAAAAAATCAACCAACCAAAAAGAAAAATTATAAAATTGCAATTATTTTTAGAGAAACTGAGTGTCTTATCCTTCATGAATCACCCTATATATTATATTATATCAATTATAATTAAAGCCGGACTAGTGGCTATACTTGAGTGTAGAACATCAGAGATTAGAGACTATATCCAAAATGATAAGTTAGAGTTCCCCTCGTGGTTATGGTCAGACGTAAAACATTAGAACTATAACGGAGAAAAAATATGATTATATTAATGATTTTGGTTGACAAAATGGTTATAAATTTTTTTTCAAATCTGTTTTTAGATGTCCATATCTGAGTGGTTGGACTGTGAAGTCGTGTATAAGCTGTACGAGTCAATGTTAAGAGTTGTGAAGGACACCGAAAACGTAGACCAGAGGCAAAATTGCTTCCTGCTACAGACGTGTAGCGGAGTTTCCCGGTACTTTTCGATGGAAACCAAACAAGGTCTGCTGGACGTGCAATGCGCTTGGCACCGGTCGATTTGTACGTCCATGATGAACATTAAAGTAAGGGCCAGATCATTCTGTTAAGTCAAAAAGACATACATCTATGTATATTAATGTTCTTTGTCATTGTCGACTCCGCAGAGTAGAACGTTTTACGTTTTGCACGGAAACAACCAGCAGCCGTCCAATCTAATACTGGACTGGGATAACGGGTTCACCCTGTACGACAACTGGACCAACTCAAACATTTGGACTTACAAATTTTCAGAGCTCCGGGGCTCGTCGGACGATCATATTTCCCGGTTGAAACTTCATTTCAACAACGCCGGTTGTATTGAGACCAAGGTAAACACGTAGAATCTACTCGATATCTCTGATGTCTATTAATTCAATCGATCCATGGCAAGAGCCGATAGAAAGACAATTATTATAGCTTATGATCAGTATTTTAATCGGAAAAAGTAACGAGGAGGGACTAGTCTGTGTTAAATTTGAAATTCCCCAAATCGAAAATTAGTAGTAACGAAGGGCTTCCTCCCTTGTACTCTTCTGTACGAGTTGACCTATGATAAAACCTCTGCGCCTCCGCCCCAATACTGCTACTGACATTATATTTAATATTTGGTATTTGATGTATATACCTGAATTTCCTAGTGGAACCCCCAATGATATTTTGCCTTATGGTGGTTCAAACTGACTAAATCAGGCCCAGCGGCTCTCCAGTCTCCACGCCTGTTTGCACTAATGCCCGCTTATGGAATTTCCAATAAATACGAATTGAAAATGTAAAATTTTTTCAGGAACTGGTTTGTCAAGATCTGCAGAGCTTACTGTTTTGCGTGCACGCTTTTTTGACAGCAAAAGTGGTTTCAGTGGACCCTTCGTACTTGAACACGGATAGCATTCAGCAATAATTGCAACTTGCAATACAATATTATGATGTTCTTATATTTTATTAGCAAAACTTTTACGTATCATCATAGTCCATAATATACCTAATATATAAATTGTGTAATAAAAAATTAATAAACGCTTGATCGACAAAATGTCATAATCACATACCGTATGCGTATGCAGGTATGTATTATACGGGTGTTTCAAATATTAATAATTATGGCGAAGAATGTTTTTCTTAAAATTGGACCTGGGAAATTAAATTTGCAAAACGATGATTTTTCATATAATATTTGATACTCGTGTGCCTTCACGATTTTGTATACTTACCGCCCTTTGTCCTTTACCCTCGTGTAAGTTTTTTTTTTTATTAAATTGTATTTATCTTTAACGTTTAGTTTAATAAAAAACAAAGACTTTATAGGCGCGAATTGGGTATTTCTTTTCTTTTGTACTTAAAACAGTACCTACAGTTCGTTTAATTTTGTCTGTAAATCTTCGGATGCCAATAGTGTTGTAATTTGGACTCGAATCTTTGAAGGATTCGAATACCTAATTTTTAAAGATTCGAATATTCGAATAGTTGGAAAAAAACTATTTGTAAATTAATTATTATTACTATTTAAATATTCGAAGGATTCGAATCTCAATAAGGATTATTCGAATTCAAACTATTCGAATATTCGAATACTTCCCATCACTAGATGCCAACAATTATTATATTATAAAACTAAACACAGGGTAGATTATTAATCGTTTTTATGTTTGGCGAACTTTTTTCTCTTAAAAATTTACTCAGAGTTCAAATTAATGTTGCGGAACGGGGCTGTAAGAAACAAAAAAAAGATTATGAAATATATATATATGTATATATTTTTTTTTGTAGCAATAACATCAGTTTTCTGTTATAATATGGTTGTTAACATAAATCCAACCCACTCTATACAAAAAAAAAATATGGCCTCGTTGTAAAACTGAAAACAGCAAGAATTGTTTAACTTTTGCGGTAGTTATTGTTTTATTGCGAAAATAGTTTTGTTGTACGCATATAAATAATAGTTAAAATGCATTACCGTAATAATACCGGACCTTCTTAAATATATGAGGTATTATCTATTACTATTGATTAATTGTATACATTTAGACGCACGTACTACATTTTACATAGGTACCTACTAATAAATAACAATTACCTTTTAATTGTGATTAATCGCTAATTTGTTGCTGAATATTAGGTATATAATTTTTATTCAAGTTATAATATATAATCACATACGATTTCTTGTATTATTTCATTAAAGGAGCAGAAATGTATAGAAATATAGAATTATATTTAGTACAATATGTTAGAAAATAAGCATTAGGATCACATTATTAATAATTAGTACTTAATATGTATACCGTACTTTGTTTAAGAAAGGATTTTTTCGTTGGCAAAAATAAATAAGGTTGTGAGTATTGTAAAGTATATTTTTCAATTAATAAACATTTTCATAACTAATTATTATTATTATTGTGTATTTGAACGACAATAATATTTTAGATTTACTTACTATGTGAATAAACTTGAACGTTTTCCGACATGTTAATATATGAAACAAATTCAAAAACTTCGGACAAATTGTATTTATGTAGTACAAGTAGTTTATTAATTATAGGAAAGTATGGCAAATATGTTTTACAAATTAAAAAATAATTACTTTAAAGTGATTTTAACCCTGGTCCCTTTAATTATCATAAAACTATCGTAACCATAATTTACACTTTAGTTTTGACTTAAAAAAGTTGTCGGTACAAAATGTTTCATACTTATATAATCGTAAGTGACATTTTGTAAGTAATATAATATAATACCTAACATAGTTAATAAAAAAAACATTATTTAAAAACTACAATTATTATAAATAACTCGATTCTTCAATAAAATAATTTAAAAAAGGAACAAAAAGAGAAACAAGTTCTTATTAGTTATTCTTATTCAGTTTTGGAACTGAATGAGTTCCTTTTAAAATGGCCTTTCTAACACTTGCCATATTTTCTGATTAGCGATTTTATTTTCCATGTTTAATTGCGCCAAATAAAAATAACATTTTTGATAGTAAAAATCATAATTCTTTTAAAAATTATCTAAGTACAGTGTCCAGTATAGAAAATGTATATTACTTGCAGTGTTGTAAATCGTTATAACATATTTTTTATTAACACAAAATTTGTAACAATATTGTTTGTTATGTTACGTTTGCAGTCAGAATAAGTCTCTTGCGCTTTATTTACAGGTACAACTTGAAGCACTGGTGACGAGGACCAACTTCTACATTTTTTAAATTATAAAAAATATGTAAAAGTTGTGTTATTGAAAAAATAAATTATTATCGTTGTATAAAATATATATTAAATCTAAAACGGTTATTGTAAAATATCAAAATAAATAATTTTTAAACAATAAACATTTTGTTATTATATAATTATTGTGAAAACGACGTACAATGATAATAATAATTGTTTTATAATCGCGTTGTATATGTGGTAGCTTAGAAATACACAAATATAATAGTAATACTATTCACTAAAGCGTGATAGAAAAAATAAAAATTACATTAAAAATGTTACCTATTGATATAGTTATAACTGATAGGTACTATAATGGAGAGGGGGGAGGGTTACAATGAGTTATAAATTATAATTTTATACTAGACAAATTATACAACAACAGTCTATATTCAAAAGTCAATGAAATTTGAAAAAGTTAAGCCTACGGCCTAAATAAAAGTAGTGCACTACGAGATGTCAAATAGTTTTGACAAATCACAGATATATAACATGTAACGTTTAAACAAACTTATTTTTCCTACATAAAATAAAATATACATGTTTAAAATATTAAACATACAATCTTTTAGTTTTAAGAAAAATGTGTTAAGTACTCATCGCTTGTATCTTGATTTAATAAGTTGTAGAGCCTTTTGCATTAACGGAGCTTTTCTCTTTTTTACTAAACACAATACACAATTTTTATATAATATTACCTGAAGATGAATAAGTTTTAATGCATATTAAATAAGACACAATATTATAGTCATTACTTATTCCGGGCGGGGTAGCGCTAGATGCAGACAAAGATATCGCAGTTCCTGTAGCCATTGCAGTCGATTTTCTATTTGCCGATAAAGATTCTGCGGTCGAGTGTTCACCCATCATAGATTTGTTTAAAATATTAATTTTAGTTTCAGAGGCTGCATGGTATTTGGCCTATAAAATCAAAATTACAAGTTATGTGTTACACACACTTTCCACATAATATTTCTATATTTATATACCTGTTTATTAGCTATGTTTCGAGGCGGTTTAACCGTAGAGTTTAAAAACGCCATTTGAGTCTTCCTCACTGGAGTGGACGCCGCTTGATTAGCATTGATGTTTTGTCGAAGTCGGGCCAATTTAGTTTCACGTTCTTGAAGACATCGCTATACAACACAAATAGTAATCATATTTTGATGTAAGAGTTTTCATAAACAAGAGGTTTCATAAAAACTCATGGAAAAAAATTGGATCTACACAAGACATTAGTACGATAATCAAAATATCAATGCTTACAATATAAAAGTCTCTCCAAGGCTCATCGTCTTCCGGTACTTTGTTTCGGAACTCTTTCTTACAATGAAATTCCCAAAAACTGCCCGTATCTTCTATTAAATATTCGTTGTATTGTTCTAATCTGTACAACTGATCGGCCGTGGCGTACTTCAAAATTGGTTCGAGTATGACAAAAGGAACTCCGCCGGTGTATTCCAGAGCTGAAAAATAATTGAATTGATTAATGTAAGTATCAATCCTGAATTTTGTAGGTCAGTACTCGAGAAATCACGACTCATTGTGTTAATCAATAAAATTGTTTACCGTCTAAGTTATCCTTTATAATTTGAACACAAATATCATGCAATTTAGGAACTTCTGTATAATATGTGCTCTTATTCCCTGAATACACTTTTGTTCTGTATAAAATCAAACATTTGTTATGAGATAATTTGGTAATATTTTTTTTTCCAGTTATTATCATTAATTCCACCTCATATTTTTGGTGGTCATAATGGACGCTAGCGGATCAATATCGTCAGCAGTTATCTTTTTCTTTCTTTCTAATTGAGGTAATGGTTTGTAATTGGCAATTAGTTCTTCAGGGTCTAAACTCAAAGGAGCCAAATTCGAATGCTTAAAATAAAAACAATTATATATTTTTTTTAAGTAAATAAATAGTGGTCATAAAATAACTTCGGCGTTAATATAAATAATAATTTTTACTGTCGGCGGAGGACTGAATTCATTTTCAGACGAGCTCGACCGACTCGACATTTCCCGGTTTTTGGTTTTAGTATTCTTCTTTTTGAGAACTGGAAATCCTAGCAGAGCTTCTTCAAACGTTTTACCTAAAATAATCATGAATTTATTTTTATTTTTATAAAATCTCAATTATTAGTCATTAGATACTATATAGAATACTAACTACTAATAGAACTGCTTGTCGAAGGCTTTGAATCATTACTAGTTTTTTCTTTATACGATTTTTTCGATTCACTTTTGTCTCTGTGACTAGATTTTGATTCGCTCTTGTCTTTATGACTTTTAGATTCAGATTTATGTTTGTCTTTTTTTGAATCAGAATGAGAACTTTTCTTTTCTTTTTTAACACTACTTTCAGAGTATTTTTTATCAATAGAGCTTTTACTCGATGACACTTTAGTCTCGTGTTCGTTCGTTGAATGTTTTTTATGTTTGGCGCTGTCGTGTTTGTCGTATTTGTGCTCTCTTTTGACTTTCTTTGAAGAATGGCCATCTCTGTGATCATCTGCGTGGCTAGAATCGGAATCTTTTCGCTTTTTACAGTCTTTTTCTTTTTTGATTTTTTTATATTTAGTTTTGTCGTCACTATGTCGACGATGAGATGATTCCTGATCACTAGAGTTATTACTGTCGCTTTCATTAGTTTCATTAGGTAAATTAGATTCAATGCTTTTATTGTAATAGCTAGTTGACGCTACACTGGATGTAATATTTTGGCTTATCTGTAACTCTTCGTTATCGTTTGTAGAAGACACTTCATAGTGTTCGTCTCCGGAATTGTCATCTCTCTGATAAAAATTTTCTGACTCTTCCACTTTTACGACATTTTTCCACTTGAGCACTAATGTTTTTGCGGCTTCTCCGATATTTCCCTCGTCTTTTCTCAAACTGTTGACTACACGTCCTATCCCAGTTTTTTGTAAATTCTGAACAGTTATAGGAAGTCTCGTAAGTTTTGTAATACAATACATAATCTGGAAACAAAAATAAAAATAAAATTAAAGTAATCAAATACTTAAGTACCTATTAGAAACACAAAATTAAATACAAATTGTTTCAATTGACTGATATTAAAAAAATAATATATGAATATTATAAAAAAAACTGTTGAACTGTAAATGTATTGGTATACAATAAGGAAAAATTGTTACCTTGATCTACTGACCTATTCAATAAATCCTATTACCCAAATACAACATAAAACTTTCACCAGACATTAAAAGGTCTTCTATTTAGACCGTTGTGCATACATATTGTAATTAATATACCCGCATTTTATTAATGAAGTATTTTTATACATAAACTTGTTTTAAATGTTCAATGCGATAAAAATCAATGTAAAAATGGAATGTATTGAAGACAATGCAAAACGAAAATAGAATAATTTGTTATTACTTAATACAATTTTCTATAGAAAAATATAATAGGAACGCAAATTTTTTAATTAGGTAAACAAAAATGATTAAATTCTACTCTTACTTTTACATCAGTAGTATGATTAATATTGGTGACAATTATATCAAATTGTGTTGAGTTTTACAATTTCTTTTGAAGAAACTATCGTAGCATTATGTATGCTTTGTTCTGAATTCTAAGAATTTTTCAAAAATGTTTCAATTTTGTTTACATTTAATTAAATAAACAATTATTATAAAAGATTTTACACATTGTTCTGACAAATCCACATAAGTAGAATTTATATTGAGATTTGAATGTTAAATGTGTGTATATTTGAAGTCTACAAATACATTCACAGTAAGTTGTTATGTAAAGGTGTGTTCACACACTTTAATTGTAGGTACAAACTAATTTTTGGCAAATATAAGATTATGTAAACAGTAATTTAAATAAATATTTAGACTGTACAAATAGCTTGTGATTTCAGAAGCAATAGAAAAATAATAATAATAAAAATTGGCATAAGCTTTGATTCAAGTTTGAATGCGTAGACAAATAAGAAGATTGTATTAGTATTTAAATTATGCCCCCCTAAATTATTTAAATATACTGTTTTGTGTATGAGGACTTTTGAAGCAGATAACCTTTATTTTACAGTGTCAACAATCATACTCAATACCTATCGTACCAGTTTCAACATATTATTAACTGCACCACACAGGTTTCTTGTATATTGATATTACCTACATAAAATTATATAATACAAAAACTGAACACATCAGTATAAATTTGGTGAAGCCAGTTTGCATGAATAGTTGATTATATAAATGTAATTGTTTTTAAACTCATTGTAAATAAATATTTTAAAGTGGTAATTCTGTACTCAGCTTAACTACAATATAATAATATCTGAAAATATGTAAGTATTTAATGATTCAATAGTTGTATTTAATTTTAATATAGGCATGTAGTTAAAACTAACTACATGCCTACATTAAAACTATATATTAATTAAAATTAATAATGGTACAATCGAACAAGACAGAATGGAAATTAAACTTGGGTTGAATGATTTCTTCAGGCAAAAGTAAATAATAGATTCGGTCAACGTATGATAATATACAATCCAGGCCAGCTGGAAAATCCATATTCCACGCTGGCCTCTGAATGAAATTCCTACCGCTATAAACATGGAACGGATATTTCATTATAATTTCAACAATTGTTTTCACACAGAGACATGTACACAAATATATTTGAATTACGATATTGAAAAAGCAAAATAAGTAACTGACATAATCACAATATTATACTATATTTGAGCGGATTATAAGTAGTAGTAATGACGATAGACGAGGATATAGTAGATACAATTGTATCTACTATTTTTAGACAAAAATCGCGCGTGGAACTATACTTTGTGTGAAATTACAATAATATGTAGTCGTACCTTGTCATTGTCATTGGCTGCGCACGCTTTATTGATGTGCCTCTTGTAATGTTCGATCACGTCGTTGAGTTTATGCATATTGGCACTCATTTTCTAATGCATTAAAATGGTTTCCTGACGAGTTTGAATTTTTGGTTTGTTTTATTCTTGTTCGACAGATGGACGTCGGACAGCTGGATTACCAGACGCGTCGGACGTGGACAGGAAAGCGACCAGCTAACGTCCGCGGCTTACACAAACGTACTACAAAACGAGCGGTGTTACAAAATTTTCAATTTACCATTAGGGAAACGTAAGCAACGACCAGCTGTCAGCTGATGAATTTTCACGGTGGTGCGAGTGGTACGAGCGAACGAACCGTGATAACAGCGTGTCCGGCATGAACTCAGGCACGAACAACGGACGCCGATTTCCACAGCAGCTGCAGCTAATATTGTATAATATTAACTTACAAATAACTTTTGTGGAATATTTGATTCGATCGAGACGCGAGCAAAGCATATTTTATTTAAAAACAATCCTGGAATGTAGAAATGGCGAAAATAAATTATTGGGGAAAAAATATTACATTAGAACGTAACCGTGTCCCATAAGACCGAAGACCGTTGCTACGTTCATGCCGTCTGGAATTGGATACCTGATAAAAGTACGGGGACCGAAGTGGGGATTAGTTTTCGTAGCATCCGAGTGTGGCGCTGCTGCTGTACTTGTACACCGAGCTCGGGAAATAAAAATTAACAATTTTGTTTTGCCCCCTCTTCCCTCCCGGTTGGTCTATTAACTAGTTTCCCGTGTGTTCGGTCCTACTTTTTTACTTTCCGTGCGTGTCTCACCTGTGCGCTTTAAATCGATATTTTGAAAAAAGTAACCGATCACGGGATCGACGTTAGTTTTCCACGAGTCGCAAGATATAGTACACTGTCCAGTCGAGTCCGCTTCTAATACATTATACTTACCTACCCGTTTGTAAATCGTATACTGTTCGTCCCAATTCGCTCGGTAAGTGTCTCGTCTTTTGTTTTGCTTGTTATCGTCAGGTGTACTTATATAGTTCTGTAGGCATTGATCGCAATTGTCTAGTTAAATCGTCGTGACATTGGAATATATTAACGCATCAAATAGCTTCCTGCATGCACGACCACAACATAATATAATGCTAAACCTACATAATTTTAATTTATAGGTAGGTACGAGGGGAATAAGTAATATTTTTAATAAGAAAGTTTAATTTTTTTTAAATTGAATATTGGCAATCCATCCTTGGTATCTACTTAGTTTTATGATTAGACACACTTCACTTACGTTTAAACTTAAGCATTAAAAATAGTGGCCTCATACATTAAATAAATTTTAGTACCTTTCTATCTATTTCTAGTTTGGTTTTTAATTGAGTTATATTATAAACATGATGCAATAACTAATATATATTCCAGACAGATAAATACAATTGAAATTCATATGATATACCTATACCTATACCCACTTGTGTCAATGACCTGAGCTGAGATTAGATGGTATGAGTATATCGAGAAACACTTGGATATTACTATTTTAATATGAACAAAAGACCTTCTTTGTAATCATTGTATTAGTTGATAATCATACAATGAGGGTGATACAATATAAAGTAATATATTAAGTCAATATCATCAGCGAGTTACTACATAATTAATGTCAATAAATTAAGTTGCTGTGTCCAGATATTATTTTAAACCAAGAGTTTCTAATTTGAACAGTGTATAATACCTAGTATAATTTGAATAAGAAAAAAAGTAGATACTTAATAAATGCATAGCTATTCTAGAAAATATTATTTTGTAAGTAGGCGGTAATAAAGAATTTAAGATTAAAATTTTTGTAAATCTACCGAATAAATAAAAATAAAATAACCTAAATCTTGCAACTCAAAATACTGTATATCTTTTTGTCCTTGGTACAGAAACAATAATACCGTATGTGTAGAACTATTACTCTGTCATACTAACAATAGAATGCATAAAATTATTATATAAAAAAAAATTAAAACTATTAAGCTTGAGTTAAAACCAAGGATTGGTAAAATAAATAAATCATTTTATTAGTTTTTTGTTATACATTTGTACCAGACAAAATCAAGCTGATTTGTATTCAAATTTTTATCTATATAAATTTAAAGCAAAGACATATTATTACAAGTACCTGGTACTTATTGATCTACTCTTTGAGGACCCCATTAAACTTCTATAGTACACATTACATTTTAGCTTCTAAACTCATTAAAATGTTTATGAGAAATTCATAATCAAAATGATAGCATTTAGGACACTGCAGCTATTCTTTATATGCCTCATATTACAAAAAATTGTAATATGAGGCATCATATTACAATTTTTGGTCTTGTAAATTTATATTTGTTTAAGTAATGAAATTATTTTATTTTATCAGGTACTACCTACTTTATAGTCTCGGCGGAGAGAAGATATAATTTAAATGTGATATTTGTATTCAAGATCATTTATGTTTTTTTTTTTTTAATTATATAATTAAAATTATTGTAATTTTAGTTATATAAATATAATAAAAATTGTACACCCATGAATTCCATAAAAATAAATGTCTAAAATGATATTTCAATCAATTACAAATTAATTTTTTTGGGAACCTTCATGGTAAATCAATGCTAAAAAATATGCAATAAAATAATATAAAGCCGGCATCACACATGTGTTATTTGCCAAAAATCATGTAGTGCGAATGAGACATTTGACTATTTCGGTAGTCCTTTGGCATTTGTCAAACCTTTTTTGTACGATGAGTGCTTGAATCAATGAAAATTACATTTGGTAGGTATGTGCCAAATGATTTATGATTATTTGATATTTTAATTTCAGCCAATTTCACATGTGTGAAACCAATCATTACGGAAAAAAAAAGCCAGAGGTATTTTTATGTCTAATATGGAGTTCTTTCTTAAGCGGAGATCCTATTTAATATTTAAGGGGGCTTAAATTATAGGTATAGCAAACATACCCGCGGGGGCTTCGCCCCCACACCCCCCAACAACAAGAAATTTAATTACACAATTACTATGACAATTTTATAAATTTATTATCCTATTTATTACATTTTCTAGCAAATGTATTTAAAATATTTTCACAGTTTAATGCTTTAGTCCTTTTCTACATATAAAATTGAAAATTCATTAAATCGGGTTTGCTCCATAGATGTTCTTAAATAAGATTTTATTTTTCTAACTCAAATTTTTTTAGTGGATTTTCCATCCCTGTGTGATACATCAATTGATCATTAGTAATAAAGTGCGGTTTAGTTTTCTTTCTCAACTAATTGTGTTTTGCCAAAAAATGAATTTACAAAAAAAAAAATTACTCACAAAAAAAATATTGGACTGCCTCTTTTGGTCTAAACACAACAGAATTAACATAGAGAGTATAATTATTATCTAGAAAAAAATATATAAAATATTATTTTCGTGGTTAAGGGTTTATTTAAATATTTCATTATTTTATTTCTTTAATAAAAATATTTGATTTCACACCAGATATAACACTAGAATTGTGGGTCACATGACTGCTCCTCAAATAAACTACATATTGTTAAAACAAGTTGTTAAAACATTATTGTTATTTTGCTTAATAATGTAATTGTATATTTATTAAAACATATAAATTAACAATTAGTTTTAATTTTTATTATGAAAAAACTAATTTTGGAAAATTGAATAATTTTTTTTTTAGTTCTAACATTTGAAAGCAACGTCAGATAGATTAGGTAAACAATACAAATGTTTCTTGAACTAAATGACTTAATGAATTGTTAAATTATTGTTTTTTTTAAGTTTATGCAAAAATTAAGTCATAAAAAACAAATAAGCCGCTATTTGGTTTTTGAAAAGATATAAATAAATTTCTTTGTTTGTTATTAATTGTTTTTCACACTAAATACTTTTTATACAATTTAATTAATTTTTTTACTTATTTTTTGGAATTTGTTCAATGTGTTTCGATAACATTTTATTTATTTCAAGGTTACAATGTGTAGTCAATTGCTACGTAGAATGTGTTCAGGTGGTGTTAGGCACTATGACGTTTAAAATAGCCAACTGTTTGTTACTACAGCAATCTAATTTAAGAATAAATTTGTATTTTTTGTCTCGTTAATTGAGCCAAAAATAGTAACGTGCAAATAAATTTACTTTGGCGATTTCGTGCACTGTGTCAGTGTGTAATTAATCACAGTCAAGTGCTATATTACGTTTATGAATTATACGGCCCGTATTGGAAGCAGGATGTACTTAGAAACTAGAAAGTGGGAAAATCGTATGTATACTTGAAGATGTAAGATGTGTTACTTTTTATTTGTGTAGCTGTCGGCCGCGGCAAATCAATGCGGCTACATTTTGAAGTTGTTGCACAACAACGTTTAATCCTGCTTGAGTCCTGATGGAATTATATTTAATCGGAAAATTATATAACATTTATACATTTTTGTTTATTTAATTTGGTACCTTCTAGAGAAATTGTGATTTTCACCGACAACTTATCAGTGATTTGTACAACACGTTTTAAAAGTCTTTTGGCACCGTGGTGTCTAGTCTCTTAAGGTCATCCGATATAACTTTTTTTTTTCTTATTGTCTATTGTAAAATATTAGTACAATTTATTTAAGTTTTTATATCATAACTACGATGTCTAGTTGATAAGGCATAAGTTGATCGTTCCGTTTAGCTTCGCTATTAAACAATTTACCACAAACAATAACTTTTGATGTTCATTTATTTTTGGAATAAATTGTCATTTTTTTAGCCTCGACGAAGGTCTATTATAAAAGTCACATTCTATGGCTTTTTGTTCACTATTTCACCTTCAAAATCGAGATTTTGACTTTAAAATACGCCACGGTGTTTTATAATTTTCTGTAAAATAGTCGTGTTAGTTTCAAATTTGATTGGAGTATAACTAGAAATTATTACATAGATGTACAGAATAATATCAAAAAAATATAACATTTATCCAATCTATTAGGGGTGGAGATTATTTCTTAATTGTTTTCTATTTTTTTGCCGGAAAGTTTGGACTTATCTGTACTTTTGTTTAACATAATATAGCTACATTTTTTACAAAAAAAAATCTAGTCAAACTAGAGGAAATTTAAGTAACATAAAAAAAATATTAATTGTATCAATATTTAATATTTTATATTAGACTGGCATCTAAGCGTTTATTTAATTTGATTTTGTCATTATTCATTGAACTTATCACTTTTAATCTTAATCATGCCCACGTCTTCATTGTGTTAGTTTTTTTTTGTAATGGTTTTGAAATGTTTTTGTTAATCAAATATACATAACTAAGTTCTTAAGTAACTATGTATGTGAACAGTCAGTTATGTTATTATTTTGGGATTTTTTATTTTAACTAGAATCAAGATGTTAATATTTTTTACTTACACGTCTATACCAATCACAAATAAATTTATATTATATTTACATCACGCATATTTTATATTACTATTATCAGTGTTGAGTATGAATGAATAGCATTATTTTATAGAGGTTGTATTTGACATTTCCGTTTTCATTCATGATAGTTTTTAATTGAAGGAACGGGTCATTAAACGAATGTTATCGCATATTTCTATTTTATCTTGTAATTTTGAACTTAGATAATATTGTTTTTAACGTTGAACATAGTTAGATCTGTATAATATTACACTAATTTATGTGATAACATTTTATTAAAACCGTATCGACGAATCTAATTTTATTAACACGGATTCTAAGAATAATCTACATTCTCTTGAACTTCAGAAATACTTTTTGCTATTACGCCTTTTGAAAGTCTAGCAATTATTCGATTAAATAGTGGCACAACAATGTACTTATTTTGTTGCTCATATAAAATAGAATAACGACAGTTATCGTCGTTTACATTTTAGACAATCTAGTGTCGGTTATGATTTATTGAAGTGTTTTTTTTAAGATAAAGGTATTTATATTTTATGATTATAACTTAATACATTAGGTGGTATAGGTATAATCGATGTTAACGAGGAACAATATTAGTTAAAGATGTGTTTAGTACTTCGGGCAAATGTTATGACGTATCAATTTTTATGTCTACCCGATACCTACTTAAAATAAAGTTGACTTATTAAAAAAAGGGGATTTACTACAGTTTTAGTTTACTATATTTGTTGCATGGGAAATCGCAAAAATTCAATAAATGTTATTCTAGTGTTTTATAGCTGGTATAATATTTTATTGTTGCTGTTTAAACTAACGCTATTATGCCTATCGGTGTTAAATTACGCGTACACTACAGACATATCAAACCCGTGACGTAAGTTTTTGTTGAATATTGAAATTGCGGTATAATAAAGTAATTACGGTGTTGGTTCGAGAAATGTTATAATATTATTGATAAAAGTTTATTCGAATACTGAACAAGTTCAAAGGCTGTTATCTATTGATTCCTTTGGTATTTAAATAGAAAGTAAATATAATGTATAGCCAACGATAAAACATGCGTTGTTTTTTCGATCGGTTTTTTTATTCCACGCTCGATTGCTTTGCTCAACTTGAATAATAATAATATAGAAATTTTGTACCGATTTAGTCCTATAACTACTTTACTGTGTTTAGTATTGTAATAGGTACAATTTTTTATGTTATAATATTTTATTTTTCGACATTATCACTCGCTAGTTCTTCGTAGAAAATTCGGAATTTTCATGTGTGTTTTTTTTTTGTTATAATTGTCAAGTAATCGATTAAGTAGCCGAGGCGTTGTAAAATTGCCATTTTAATTGTAGTTCTTGCTAGTTGCTAGTGTACTGTATTGTAAGTGTTAATAACCGACGTTAATCGTTTATAACTCGAATAGTTTCGATTATAATAAAATATATTATAGCCGAGTGTGCAATAATAGAAAATAAGAAAACGCCGGTTTAGCTAAAACGAGACTCCTGGTGAGAGTTTCTCGAACATAATATATTATAATAAAAATGGCAATCGCATCCAACCAGGTTGTAGACGAATTTTTTTTTTTGCAGATAACATTGTAAATATGAACATATCCGTATTCTCTCTTTAGCGCCTCGAGTAGGCAACGGTGAATTAATGTATACATAAAAAAAAACCAAAATATTATTGGATTACACCTAATACTTAGGTTTAGTGTCAAACTCGATTTGGCGATGCCGGGGCGGGGTCAAGACCTAAGTAGTTTTTTCATATTATAACGACGAGGTCACCGTCAAGTGATGCTAATGTCAAAAATCCTAACGGGACGCACCGGATTATTTCTATTCTGAGACGCCCTACTTAAATAATTTATAATACATTCATAAATAAAGTATAATAATAGTTTTATTGATTCGTCAATTATCCTAGATTAGTGTCGGTGCAACGTGTGTGCCCTATATTGGTATATATTAGTACATGTCGCCCACGAGCTAGTAAAATGACATAATAGGTATTATTACGGGAGAATATTTATTATTCGTTTCATATTTCAAGCTTCCTTTCTGGCGTTTTTTTGTATCACCCGTGTCGTTGTTTGCGACCGTTTTTGAATACCGAAGATTTATATTATTACCAAGAAGATGCGCGTGGCGTCTTTATAAATGGTTTATTATAAAGATTACACACGCGCTCGACTACTCGTTTTGTTTTGTCTGTACGACCGTACATCTAAAAAGATAATTTAATAATAATATGTAATTATTATTGTATATACTGTTGTGTGTTATGTACATTGTTTGCAGTGTTATTACAAGCTGTTAGCGCAGCAGCAGCTCCGCCAGAATTCGCGAGTTGTGCAATGATAAAAGTCTAATAAACACAGATTGTACCTACGAACACTGTCAAGTTCGTATGCGTACAATAATAATTATTATGTAAACCGTGTAAACATTTTTAACGCGGCCACGTTACAATAATAATGTTATACAGCTGTATAATATAGGTTAGAACGGCAACGGGTAGAGTATTATCATTGATTATAAAAATATATTATTAATAAAATATGTTCTGTTTTTGCACTGCTGTGCGCGCCTTGGCCGACCATGATTTTCGAACAGACGCAAACGATTTATGAAATGGGATATTTTTTTTTTTAGGCTAGTTTTTATTTTCCATATGAATCGGTATTTTTTAATTTTATTCATAGTGCAAGACCAGCGGCGTATGTAGGTCGACCCTCTAATGTCACCTGAAATTCGGAACCGTACTTTCGACACAATATAATAAAAATTACGTTAATAACATAATATTATGATGTAACACATTCATAGTAACAATGATGTAGTAGAAAATTATCTATTTTTCCCCCATACATATATTATATTATATAAAACCAGCGATAAATTTGTCATTCGGAATAATGTAATCAACATTGACGTGCGTTTATTATAAAACAATATTATAATATTTTGTCACTTAATTTTTATCCGACATAATGTATGTTTTATTTTTACATTTTTGATATGTTGGCTCTTATGGTTTCTGTTAAATGTCTGACATTGTTAACGTCTTGTCAACTTGAACCGTTTTAAAGAAAAATAAAATCCATGTATTTTGGATATTGGTTTAATTCGTTTTATAAAAATCAACGGTTTTCAATTATCGTCTTTGTTTTCTGCCAAGCTGCTATTAGTCATATGATTTATTTAACAATGTTATACCATATGGTGGTTGGTTATCCATAGTTAGAAATTACAATAATGTATACCGTATATTAATTTGCACATTAAATTTGTGTTGAATAAAATCTAGTTAAAAAAAACTAGTTTGCGTATTATTGCGTCTATTTATAATTTGCTCTACGGAAAAACGATTAAAAATTATGTTGTTTTTTTATCAAATCAAAATAACAAGCTTTTTAAAACTAATACACATTGCACGTTATTTCATCGATTATATCCCGTCTTCGCTGAACGCTAATAGTGTAATAATTAACTTGGCTAGAATCAAAACTCACGTGATCCAAAAAATGAGAAATGAGTTTGCACTACCTTATAGGATTTTTGACGCTGAATGTGTATCACATCAGTTTGTTTCAAAATCCACCAAAACAGGCCTAGAGGCTAGATTAAGCCTTGACATTTGTGGTTAGTATGAAAACAGATGAATTTAAATTGGTTTTTTTTGCGTTTTTAGAAAAATGTGATTTTTTGATCATGTGAGTTTTGATTATAGTTTACCCAATTATTCATAACTAGTTATGTACTCGTTATTTTTTTCATAACAAGTTCAGTAGATTTTTATTGATTTTTTAGTTGTGAAATAATATAGGTAGGAATATTTAAATTTTATTGACTTTGATACGAATAAAAAAAAAAGTAAAAACCATTTTCTCAGCGTTTTTTCAGCTCAATCCTTTCATTAACTACGTCACTGTTAAGGCATAGCTTAACATACAACAATGTAAAGGTGTATTTCGCTAATCGCATGTTTTATATTTAATGTGACGTACTTTGTTTGCTTGTGTATTACAACAATCACTATCCTATTAGAGAAACGGGGCAATGTTATAAAATATGATGATTACAAATTTGTTAATGAAACCAGCTGTAATTGTGGCATGACGTGTTTTCAAAACACCGTGCCATTTAATGGCATGTTATAATTGATAATATATTATATACCTACATACGTTTACAAAAACTTTGCGTTATCGTTTGTCGATAGTTACGTTTCAATATACTTATTACACCTCTTGAACATCATAAAACATGTTTTATTTTTTGCCGATTATTTTATTTGAAGTGCATTTTTTTCGTTGTTGTTAAAAAGGTCAAAATTATAATATCTCGACGGGTGTTATAGGCATATAATTTGAATATAATAAATAGTCTGACCTCTGGTAATATTTGTATACCTACATATTATATACTTCGAATGTTTAAAACCGTTTAAGCTGTTTAAAACAGCTGTAAAAAATGTTTAATGGATTAATTAATTGTTTTATCGTACATCTACTTATTATAAAATCTAACAGGGTAGTTTTCAAAGTTTTTTTGTTTTTAAACAATGTAATTTTTTGTTTGTTTGAGTCGTATTGATTGTGCATACTTTTCGATACAAGTTGAGATGTGTATAATATATATTTTTTTTAAACAATAAAAATCGATTATAGTCCGCAAAAATTTCATGATTAATTGTGTCTAATGATATTGAATTTTGTTGCAGATTACACTGAGAAAGTGAATCTGTTTAGGAAATGGGATGTAATGTACAAAAAATAGTCACGTGGTAAGTACCTATGAACTTTGGTATTTTTTCTTTTGTTGTTGTTGGAAAGTTACATTTTTAGCGACGATAAACATTAATATGAATTTGGTCGTGTTCGAAGGTATCAAAAGAAAATTGGAACTTATGATAAACAACAGTGGGAAAAGACTATCGAACAACGTATTCTTAGCGGATTCACGCATGTTCCAAAGAAAAATGCGAAACTCAAGACTGATTTAATCGACGTAGACTTGGTCAGAGGTGTGTGTAATAATATTTAATATTATAAGAATAATAATATTGTAACGTTGTATATTATTTAAGGGGGTATGGTATAACAACTCTTTTGTACAACGATGTACGACCTTGGCCTTGGTCCAAACCGCTGTGGTGTATATTAACGTACATAGTTCTACTTGTGCGTCACGTATGCCCGGCTGGGCCTTTGTGATGTTGCTACCCGAGGTTAAGGACTATTGATTTTGTCCCCGTCTGACCTTTTAGCGGGTACGCTTAAAATCAATATACCTTTCAAAAAACAGACGCGCTCCTTGTACTAGCCCTATTAGCAGTCTGCACCCTCGTCCTACCTATCCCGTTTCAGCGTCCACCAATCCTAATTGATAATAATGATATTCTTATATCAGCGTCGACAATTGTAGAACATAATGTCGTGATATAATGTAATAATATATTACGCTGAGTCGTAGACCGTTTATTATTGAGTGTAGGCGTGCTTGTGTAAACCAACTTTTGAGTTGCCAAGCTATGAACACTGAACAGACATGAAACAATATTATCAAATGCCCAAACTATTTTACACTAACCTCAAATAACTCGATTACTTTAGAATTATTCTGCGCTTTTAACTATTTGTAAATGTATTTTTAGTATCTGTGATTCATAATTCCAAGTTTCAAACAGTTAACCTTTGACCGTATTTCAAATTTACATTTTACATTTTTTTTTGAAATAAATATTCCCTTGGCCCCCTTAACAGCATATGAAAAAGGTTTTACGTTTTCTGATGGTTATCGGTCTCGAGAGGGTTAACATGTGTTTACCGATTACACTTAAAATGCGGATCGTAACCTATTATTGCTCTCGTGCTTTTTCTTAGGTCAATTAGTACATCAATTATAACTCCTAATTACAGGTCCAGTCTCCTTGAACTTAATCTTTTAAAAATCCAATGTTCTTACACCAAATCATTGACTTCTTCTTAAAGATGGGATTATAGCCTGATAAACCAAACAACATTAAGAGTGTGGTGCGAGGTTAGCTAACCAGTATCACATACTAAGGTGGCCTGTAACCGCACAAGTCGCTGTAGAAAAAAATCTTTTTATGGGTACATTAAAACTTATAACTTATAAGTAACAAAAATAAACCTATTGCACTCGACGAAATGGCAATTGGTATTTGATCTTCGGTTCTAGGAATGTATGTAGATCAAAAGATGGGAAAACTGATTGGTTTTTTTTCTAAATATGTTTAATCTAAGAGTTTTTCTCTGCGTCTGCTCACAGGGTCGGCGTTCACCAAAGCCAAACCAAAACACGGGTTTATCACAGTCACCCGCCTAGCTGTCATCCGATTGCTGCTTTTGCCGTTCTATTACAGTTGGTACGTGCACCAGACGTCATGGCGGTTGTACCTGTCGCTGTTGTTCCTGTACGTGGTGCAATTGGGAAACATCATTTTGTTCGGTTACGTCACGATTGTCTCGGCTGAAGAAGACGACGTATCGCTGGTAATGAAACTACAACAGTATTGTGTACATACATACAACAGCTAATGCATATTATATTAGAATTTGAATTCATAATTCTTGCAAATCGGTCGATACGATATGTAAAATATAATACATTTAAGATATTTGAATGTACGATGACGATAGATAGTTCGTTTATCAAAGTTATTTTAACAATATAGTATATACACAATATTATAATATGTACAATTATATTGTATCTAAATATAAATTAACATCCCAGATTCAAACGTCATGTTAATTAATGTATGAATGTGTGTGTGTGTGTATGTACCCTACTCTAGGTTTGATACCAGTGGTGGAGCGACATAGATTTTTCGAGGCAATCGTCCCATTACTCTCAAGACATATGATAGGGTAGTTTCCTTGGGGTATTAAATGATCTGGACGAAAACGACAAATTTTGTTTTTTTTTGTGGGGAGGGGTCGATACGATTTTATTATTCGGGACTTCTCACAATAAAATAAGAGTAATATGAAATTTATAATTTGGACGGACACTGGACGCTAACAAGTGGTTCGTGATATAAATAGTAACGAGTTTAGAAATAGACAAATGACGTTGACTCCCTACATTTTTTTTGTCGGTGAGACTACAAGACGTCTTTGTCAGGTTGGCTATTTCGGATGGATGAACGACGAGGTAAATTATTTGGCATCGATGCCGATTCGAAGAGAGTCTAAGAGTTCACAAACTGTTTACAATTTGTATTGTATTAGAATTCGTTTATCTGTAAAATTATAAGAAAAAAAAACTAACGTCGTGTACCTTCTCCATTTGTCACTGATTTCCACGTGCCATGTCGCTCTGACAATAATGAACTGTTTGGCTTCGGTGTTGAACGTCAACGAATCATTTATTTACCAAACTGTCACGACTAAAACTATCTTAGCGTTATTAAATTCTATTCTGATTCACGCTTACTCGCTACGAAGTACAAAATGTTATCGTGTTACATATTATTATGTGGCTTATAAACACAGACCGTATTACGAAGCAGAGCTTTCCAATACTTTACATTACTACTTATGATATGAAACGCAACAAATTTTTGTGGCTGCTTAGAACTCCCAAACCCTTTCTAAATATTCCATATACTTATACCAAAAAGTAAAGGGTTATTTTTTTATAATAAAAAGCTTTTATGAAATCTTAAATACACAAACGGTGGGACAAAGGAGCTGGCTGTAGATATTATATATTTACAAGATTAATTATGATAAAAAGTACGCATTTATGAAACAGCTAAAAAAATCTACTATTTCCAATCAATATTTTATTTCTATTTTTGAATCAAGATGCGTATATTATAACAAAACTATACCGAGAAAAGTCAATACAATATACGTTAGTTCGAATAACCCAGTAACCTATTTGTCATAAATAATTTGTGTTTAATAAAATCGATTACGATAAAACACGTTCGCTGTCTGCATGTAATAAATAAATTAATTACGTGGACCACGTATAATGTGGTCATTGGGGACAGTCATGAACCTACTGTTCAGTACATAATAAAACAAACTTTTCCATATTAAATCCGTCAATACGCGATTGGATGTTTCAAAAATGGACTTACAGCTCATTATTGTTTTTATAAAGTATTTTATACATTTAAATATGTTAGCAATACTAAAAATCGACTTTAATTAACTTGACCGTAGTGGTACATTGACCCGAACTATAACTAAGTAAACCAACTCCGACCCGTATCATGTAAATATCTAGCCACTAGTCAACACCGCCAAACGAATATACAACCCTTTGCATGGGTGTTTTATTGATGAACAACAATAGCAACATATTATATTGAATTTCCAGACATTAAATTATAAGTTTTTGTTTTGTTTTTTTCAGTTCGTGTCGATTGGAGAAGTATTAAGTCCGTTAATTATGATGTTAATACTGAGTATAGTGCACTCTCAAATCGTATCTACTACTACTATTTCTAAGAAGAACTTCCTGAAAAACTCCAGATCTCATAGTCCGCGATGCTCTAAAAAGAGACTCTCTACCTCAATTAAAAATAAAAGTAATAGCATATTTTGTTTTATTACAACACTGGAAATAAATGCTACAGTTTATGATGAATTTAAGATGAATGCTCGCATGTTATTAATTTGGCTTTTCAATGTTTCAGATTCGACTGAACTGAACGTAGATAATATCCCTCCTTCGATGGTATCTGCTGAAAACAAATATTTGAAGCGCAGAAACAGAATGTGAGTTGTTGAGTATTATTATACCAAACAATAATTATATTTTAATTAACGTTATGCATTTTACATGTTTATTAATTATAAAAATAACTAATTGCTAACCTAATATTAAAGTTGGCAATAACTTGGTTAAATTTTTTTTTTTTTTTTTGGTATGCTAAACCCAATATAACTCGTATTTTTTGGGAAATACCGAACATTTGCTTGAGCAATATACCAGTGATTGAAGACGTTACCGAGCCAATATTTTAATTATTTGTTTTAATTACAACAAATATTTTGTATTCATAAATGGTTAATAGTACAATATTTTTATAGCTTAGCTGAGTTTAAAATTATAAAAAATTATTTTTAAAGCTATGTTATGCTTTTAGGGGATGATATAAACGGTACGTTCCAGACATCATAGTATTAATAATTATCATTCCAAAAGACATAGTTTAACTTTAAAATGTTTTTTATTAACTTTTTTCTTTTTAAAAATTCAAACTAAGTTGAGCTAGTAGTAACTAAGTTAGCTAGTTAAGTTAGTATATTATATCATACTGTTAATAATTTTAATCAACATTTGTCATAGTTATAAGAAATAATGTAAATTTTGGTGTGGCAACGTTTTAAATTTCTGAAAAAAAACCCGATGGGAGTTGTTTTGCTAACTTTGCCTAATATAGTTTGAAAATACGATTAGCAGTTTGTGTATTTTTGTTTATGCAATGTGATAATTATTTTTAGTGGGGATGTGACTAAATCGCGAAACGTAGCTTGGGATACTTCACCAGTAAAGACCCGTAACTGGGTTATTGATTCCTCACCCGATGTTAGCATTCCTGTAGTTACCGAAGATTTAACCACAGAATTACGTCTAGTCAACCTAGAAGAGAAAAAACAATTGGGAGGAGTGTATGTAACAACAATTACTAATATTTAATATGATTCGGTCCTGTAATGTTTTACTTATAATTTTAGTTAAACATTCTCATGGTTTGTTTGTATTCTTGTGTTTATAGCGACCGTATGGATGTGAGGCCTGATAGGTCAAGCTCAGCGCACGACGATGATGGATTTGAAAGTTTAAACGGCAATGGTTCTAGTGACAATCCTGAAGAAGAAATTTTGACTGGAATTGTAACATCACAATTTTCTGAATCGACAACTAGCGCCGAACAATCTAGTAGTACTCCTAAACACGACTCATTAGTGACTAAAGCAAATGTTATCACAACACACCCATCTAAGAAGACCATAGACGATATAGCGAATAAGAATATATCCAGTCAAAAGCGATCATTGAGATTTAAAAAAAGTCCTATTACTTCATCTAAAGCTACCATTGTTGATTTAGATCGCAGATTATCAGGTAAATAATTTAATAATAAATTATAATCATAACCACATGAGTGTTAAATGTTAACTTTAAATTATTTATGCAATTTCAGCTTTTCAACCATCTTTATGTTTTCCATATGTCGTCAATTCAGAATCTGAAGACAGCGAACAAGAGTTGGAAAATAAACCATCAGTTTGCCATAAGGTAAACTATTTATTTTCAACATAATAATATTTTTAAGCAAACTGACTTTTCATGAGGCATTTTAGCCAATATAATATTATGTTATAATAGATATAATAATTTTGGAACTTTTTTCATTTTTAAGCCTAACACATTCGATTGTTATAATATTTTACTAAAATGTTTAATATACCCGAACACACTTTCATCTATACAATTAAAACTATTTTTCAAAAAAATTCACTCAATCCTTCTGTTATCAATCAAAATAATCGACAATCGATTTAACTTTATTAATTTATCTGTTATAGGTCATTAAAGACCATGACAGTGAACTAATTGGTTAAAGGCTAATAACATTAATAGTCTACACTAAACATATTTTTTATAGTATTTAGGGGTTGTGCAATAGCAATAACTTTGTTAAAATAATTGTTAAAATCATATTTTTTAACATGTAGTGGGAAAAATAGGCCTTTTTTGCTATTAATTATTTATTTGAAATAAAAATTAATATAATTATTTAAATTTTTTTAGCGTTCAATGATTAGACGTGGCCATCGTTTACAAATGTTAACCAAGTCAAATTCTGATGTAGACGAAGGCGATAACGTGGACAGTTCTTCTAGCCGCCAAACGGATGATGAAGGAGATGTTTTGTCTTCAAACGGTGGTAGTGCATGTCCCTTATCAATGTTGACTGAAGGAACGACTAGTGCCGGTGAATGGATTGGTCTTACGACCAACACCGAGGAAGGTTCTTCCACGTCGGATTTAGAAGCTGAACAGGCAACATTGATGAGTGATAACAATCTCGATCATCCGTTTCTATGGGAATTTGAAACTGTAAGTGTACTAAAGATTAATTTTGGTTCATTTGTTAATAATCTATTTTTGTATTTTAAGACGCCGACAGTTATACTTAGTCCTAGCTGTGCTGCATCCGATCGAGGTAAAAAAAAACAAAACATATATACTCTTTATCAATTTTCTTTAATATTTATTATACAGTATATTATAATAATAATTATTGTTAATGTTTCTCAGTGAGCTGCACAATGTGGGAAAAGAAAGAAGTTAAAAAAGCCGATTTATCTGTATTAGACATAAGTTCTGCGATTATAGCTAGAGTTGAAGAAATTCCTGAACAAATGGATTATTTTTACTTAGGTAAATTATATTATATTTTATATCACTCCAAAAAATAAAAGTGACACAAATCTTCCATACTCATGCTTTTGTAAATCTGAATAATATTATAAAAACTAATTTTTTATTATTTGTTTTTTTAGGTGTTTTTCTATCTGTGATAATATCTCTCATGCCATCAGCTTATAGATTACTTAATAGCCTTACAGAAGACAAACCATTACCGACACTAGCAATAACTGTAAACGTACCACCGGAAAATGTTTACCATCATTATGTGTCGATGTTGTTTACTATTCTTAATGATGCGTTTGCACCAATCGGCTGGTGTGTATTTTTGAACTATTAAATTATTGTTTGCACAAACAATAAGTTACAGTGTACATTTTGTTTTTAATCTTTCAGGGAGAGATATATAGTCATAACTACACTCGTAGAACGTTTCTGTTTATCGCTTATGTTCTTCTTTCTGTTGACTGTGGCAGAACGCACATACAAACAGCGTTTTCTTTATGCAAAATTCTTTTCACACCTAACATCTTTCAGAAGAGCTCGAAAATCGAAATTGCCACATTTTAGATTGAATAAAGTACGAAATATTAAAACGTGGCTATCCATTCGATCTTATTTAAAAGTAAGTCGTTCTTAATAGTTAATGGCAATTTGCGGGACCAACTATTCTATTAAAGTTTGACAGTAGTTCAACAAAGATGGACTACAATAGTTGCTGCAAACAGTCATATACAATATTTTCTTTTTTAATAACGTTTTAATTTTTTAGAAACGTGGACCTCAAAGATCGGTAGACGTAATTGTGTCGTCGTCATTTTACATATCATCGTTGTTTCTAGCTATTCTTAGTGTTGAATTGCTCAAAGTAATTATTATAAACCTACATATGAACAAATACCATTTATATATATGGTATTTGGTGTTACCTATAACATGTTAATCTGTAAGCTCTTATTGTTTTTGTGTATTAGGATACGTTTTCTTTAAGTTCAGAATTTCATTTGGAATCTTCTGCATGGTGTATGGTTTTAGGAATTTACCTATTGCGATTTTTGACCCTTGGTACGAAAATAAACAAAAAATACAGAAACCTGTCTACGCTTATTACTGAACAGGTTAGTTTTTTTTTATTAATTTGGACCCCAGTTTAATTTTACTAATATAATTATTGCTAAATTTTCAGTTAATAAATTTATGTTTTTTTTTAATCGAGTGTAAGAAAAATTATAGCGGTTCCATTTAATAATTGTGTTACATTTCTGGGTTCTTACATTATATTAGTTTCATATAATGTAATTTTATTTTTTATATTGTATATTTAAGGCTTTTGTACATAGTACTTGTTTTCTATTTCAAAGACAACAATAAATGTGTCTGTTAGTATATTATTTAAAATGATATTCATTAGAATTATGTATAATTGTAATTCTTTAATTGTCATTTGTAGATGATAAAGTATTCACTACCGGGTTTCTAGAAGTTTGACTAAGGCAAAATAATAAGTCTTACTTCTATGGTATAGAAATATGTATATATTTGCAGAGTTGGGCAAAATATAAATAAGATAATAAATAATAGATAATTTTACAAATAATGTATAATTTTTATTTGTGGGTAACATTATTTTAAATAGGTAATATATTTTCATTGTAGATACTTCAAAATTTTTGTCTACTATTAAGGCATTCAAACAAATAATGAATTAAAAAAAAATGTAAATAATAAATAAATTGTGTTGACAGATAATAAAAATAATTTTTTACATGTCCCTTCATCTAGACGAACAGTTATTTGAAGAATGCCCAACTCTGATGTTTTGGCAACAACAATCGATTAACTGCTGTGTATTAATTATAAATGTATATTTTATAAATTTCAGATTAATCTATACTTGCAAATCGAACAAAAGCCTAACAAAAAGGACGAGTTTATGGTAGCCAATAGCGTATTGAAGTTGGCAGCGGATTTACTCAAGGTACTTATGAGAATATTTGTTATTGACCACTGATTAACATGTAGAGAGAGTGTGTTGTTTACTCTTTTATCTCTCATTAGTATAAAATGACGGGAGAGACCCTTTAGAAAATAATATAGGCGTTTCTTCATTTTCGTATTATTATTGACATGAATATGATCTATTAGTAAAAGAAACGTTCACAATCGTATGTCTTTCCTTCAAGGGAAAGTTCGTTTTCTTAACGGTTTTGTGTTTTCTTAAAATAAATAATTTATTTAAGAAAATACAATAATAATCTCCTCTACTGTTTTTGTTTTCATGAAAATGATAATATTCTTTCAAAAACTGTATGCTACTTTTAGTTAAAAATCCATTTCTAAAAAACGTTGCTTGCAACGAGATTGTTTTTTATTGTGTACTCTCATTAGTCATTCTTCACTATTTTTCCCCTCCCTCTGAAAAGTGAAAACATTTGTACATAAATGAATACATTAATATTATAAAATATAAAATACAATTTATATATTTATAAATCTATAATAATATTTTTATAGCATATTAAGTTAAGCTTATGTTTTGACACAATTTGTAACAATATTTGAGAGTTTAATAATAGTATTTTTTTTTTTAAATTGATTTATCTTTGGGTATTTTTTTTTTTTTTTGGACATACTTTTTGTGTCTATCTGTGTGACATAATACTTTTATCATTGTATATACTTTTGCCACTATCGTGCTACAACGTACAATAATTTGCCTTTTTTTTTTTTTAGGAATTGGAAAGTCCATTTAAAATCGCTGGACTGTCTGATAACCCATACTTGTTCACGCTGATAAAAGTGGTCATCTTGTCAGCTCTGTCCGGTGTTCTCTCTGAATTGTTAGGGTTTAAATTGAAATTGCACAAAATCAAAATCAAATAATCATCAGTGAAGAATATAGAATAAAAAAAATGTTATTGATGTCTATTTCATGGCGGTGGTTATTGTGGATTATCGCGTGTTTATTTTTCTGCTTTAGATACTTTGAAAATAGTCGATACCGTTTTTTTTTTTTTAAAGTATAATATGTAATTTGTATTCAACAATATTATTTATTTTACACAAAAGTGTATTTTTCTAGTTGAATTTTTTTTTTTAATTTGTATGACTTAAACGCGCATAGGTACACAGACATCGATATTATTAAAAAAACACAGTTTATAATACTGTTGGCCAAGGCTTTAAGAACGATAGCTTGGCGATCTCTATAGGAGTGAAAAAACAATAACATACCTTTTAAGTATAATAATTGTCGCTATTTTAGGTACCATTTTTTTTTTTATTCTCTGAGCCCTTAAGGTGTCGAGGTCTGCCATAATATATATACATATATTACTATTATAATATTTATATATTTTTTTGGTGTTTCTTATTATTATTATTTTTTTTTTTTTAAGCAATAACTTACCATAATAATATTACGTAGATATACTACTCTAAACAAGAAACGTCGTGTTCACAAGTTTAACTAGTTATACATTTATAATATAATTTTTCTACGTGATGTATAGAAATGTATTAAAATGTATTTTATATAACAATAATGTTTATAGTGTATCAGAGTTTGAAAAGTTTTATAATATTTGTTTGCAACGACACTGTTAAAACAGGTAATTTTCAATGTAGTTAAAATAATATTTTTAAAAAGTGATTTATATTAAATTGTTTTTTTTTAGTTACATTATAATTTATAATATACGTATTGATTGTGTACACTGTACTATGTTGTTAGTAGATTCACTGTTGCTCGGATAGATACGTTTCTTAAAATGTACACGCGAACAATAATGATTATATACTTAATCCAAACAAGTTTTCCGCTAAGAGTCCCCGAGCGGCTGGATACTAATATTATTATCATTATTATTATTATTATTTATGTGCAATGTGATAGCTCGATTTCACCGTTTGTATCAGCTAACACTATCGTCAATCGTAGACGAAAAATTGTATGTATTTCAATTGATGGTACTTTTCTAGACGTACTATAGATTTCTATGTATTTAACTCTGTGATCCCTTTGTTTTTATTATATTATAATATTATATTAAATCAAATGTTGTTTATTTAGTAAAAAATAAAATATGATTTATATATGTATGAAAATTAAAACTGTGTTGTGTATATTTATCAAGTTGAAGAGGATGTTATAAAGAATAGAAAATAAGCTGATTAAAAAAAAAATAGATAAGTATTAAACGAGTACTGATTCAGAGTAAGCTCTTAGTGAAATAGTTCGACTACACTGTGGGGAATGACGTGGTATTTTGCTGATGGAACACACATTATAAATAATAAGGTTTTAAGAGAATGTGATATACCCCCTATTTATTAAGGAGTTAGGTGTAGGCAACTTTTTGCAAAATCTTAATGTCCATGGTTGATTTAGATCAAAAATACTTATTAAGAAATCAAGAAGATAACAAAATTTTGGGAACAATGTCATATACTATTTTGAAAATAACGTGAAAAAAAGTTATAGCCTTCTGCTTTTTTAAGAAAGTAAAAAAAAACATTTTAAATGTTAAGCGAAATACGAGTATTAGGTTTATTAAAAAAGGATATGTCATTTTATGATCTTGTCATCTTTTATTTTTCCTCTAAATTTATTCTGCTTAGGTATGTTTTAACGTTGAAAAATTGGCTTTATAACGTCCTCTTAGCGGTAAATGTAAATTGTTGGTTACGACGAATAGCCTGCGACCGCATTTTTACCTTCTCTTGACTTTAGTTATTATTATTATTTTTTTTTACAAGTTGAATAATTGTTTCACCACGCTGTAAAAAGTTTCTCAACCATTAACTAGCACTCGTGTTAATGATCATTTGGCTTGTGCTAATGAATTTCACAAACGACTTAACTTTAAGGTGAATAAAAAGAAAGACATCCGGCGTTTCGTTCTTTCTTCTTTTTTTAATTTAAATACCGATGTTAATTATTGTTGTACAAAAAAAAGTACCTACCTTAATGTTCTGTTGACTGCATCGACAACGGTTTGTTATTGGACTTCTATAAATGCTGTCCTATTAAGAAAGGGGTACTATAAAGTCATACCTAATTTACCTGTATTAATGGTTATAATTTAAATTAATTTTTTTTTTAATTTTTTACATTTTCCTAGTGTTTTTATTTTTAAATAGATATAAGGTATTTAGTAAACAGTGTTGGTTGTAGTCATCAGACGAACACGTTGGCACGTCAAAGAGTTTTATTAAGGAACGAGTCGTCACTCTGAAGCCTATAAAATATACTTAAACAATTTTGAACATGTTTGTTTGCTAAGGGGAATAAGTCGACTGTCGAATGTAATTTTAAATAAGTTAAAATTAGATTTATGTCATAACTAATTTATGTTTTTTACAACTAATTTTATTTAATCATCCGACTTGTTCAGTGGTGTCTTATTTGGCAACTGAACACTATTTTTGATTTGCCAAATTATGCTTTTAATTTCCGTTCCACCGTGTTTTTCATACTTTATTTAGGAAAGAGAATAAGTCCGCCCAGCTGTAAAAGCCTAAAAAAGGCACACCTATAAAATCGTTCTAAAAAATATCAAACATTTCTAATGCAAATAAAAAAGTGCATTTTACTGATTTTTTAAAACGTTTGTGTTTAAGCAAAAAACTGGGTTTCGCCTCATGTGAGCAATATTTTACAAGCTACCCGTATGTTATGTTATTCAAAGCTAATTAATTATATCAATATTATCAATCGACGCGTATTAGATATTATATTTTCTTATGATTTTAATGCTGAATAATAATATACCGAAGACCGCGTGAAATACAAAAAAAAAATCGTTGAATAGTTTGTATACATGATAGCCTAATAGGCACACAATAAGGTAGATAATGTTGTAATGAGAGAAAACGAAAATCGAGTGAAAGTTTATAATAAAATAATAACAAGTCATGTGTATAAATACACTTACCTATTGATTAATGCATTTACCATTGCTTTTTCGGTATTATGTTGAGATGTGTCATGTGTGTCAGGTCTACCGTTTATATAAATGTATACATATATACAAATTAAAATATGTATACCATTATAGACTATATTTTATCAAAGGTCTGTGACTTCCATTTTTTACAAATGTAACACGACAGTCCGACAGACAGCAGACTTTATGTGTATGAAATAATACACGTTATTTACACATATCTATATAGCTGAGAAAATAACATGCTACTAATCTTTATAAACATATCTATTGTAAGTATATACCTCTAAAAACTTTTCTATTGTAAGACAAAAAGAAAACATTTTACTAAAGCGCTATTTCAAGAATTATTAAGGTATATAATTTCAGCGTGAATGTACGTTTATATGATTTTTTAAACTCTATTCCAAATACTAAGTAGGTTTTTTAATTCAATTTTTTTTTTTTGATTTTATAATAAAATTTGGAAATTCTGATTTTTGTTTGGTATATTATTTAAAATTTGAAAGGTGATTTAAAAAATAATTTTATAGTTTCAGATTCATCGACAAAATTCAGAAAAAATTGATGTTTTTCGGTTCCAAAAAACAAAAAGTTAAATTTTGTTGTGTTGTATTGTAGTTTAGGTACTATTAAATTGATTTAACTTAAAATTATATGACGGTGATAAAATGTCGTTGTAAAAAATGATAACGGTTTAAAAATAAAATGTTTTCTGAAAATAAAATAGACTTTTTATAAACGATGATATTTCGTTCTCTTTAGTATGAACTTATTAACATATGTAACTTACTTGGTACGTGTTTTATAAAAATTAAAATTTTTGTCAAGTGTCCGGACAATACAAACAAATAACAGTTAAACATTTGCCCAATTGGTTTATAAACATCTCTTGGGCGAAGAGTCCTCATAAAACGAGAAGATAACTTAATATTTATATCATCTGTCCAGTCTTCAATACCTACCGTTGCACTCTACTTTTGGTCTACTCTATATAAGTGAAAGTGGTTGATGACATTCTATGTATAGCCACAAAATGTAAATACGCCAACGAAGCTCCCTAGGAAATCTTGCCCTCTATCTTTTTTATGGCAAGTGTTTTATCTCTAAAATCACTTTGAAAGGTGCTTTTATTTGTTTTGTGTAAACATGTTTTACCATTGAAAATCAACGATGAGCCATCCTTTTAATTATCGCAATCCGTAGCGGTCCAAAACGACATTATATTTTATCCTCTTTCTAAACATACGTTTAGTTACATACATGATACATTAGTACGTAATGTTTAATTGTGTTATACAAATACCTAAGTAAGTATACGACAAAAATCCTATAAGAGTTTTATCTTTACTAGGTTAGTCAGTTTCGTTTGACGACCTAACATTACTTTGTTCGACGGAAAAAAATGTTCTTTTCGACGCTCATCCGACAAAAACCCGAGTAAAAAGCGCACAAAGGCAACGGTAATAAACGCATAGCTACCAACAGCTGCTGTGCATATTTTAAGCCGCAAAGTTATTCTATAATAATAAGACGTTATTGTTTTTATCGTCTAAATATATACGTTTATGGTGCTCATTCCGAGCGGGCTACAATTTCGTTTTTAAGTACCTTGTCTCATACTTGGCTATAACGATAACAGTATTGTAAAACGGTTATACGGAAATGGGTCGGCTATGGCGGACGGCGGACTTTGTAATAATTTTATTGTTCGTTTTTAAATACAGCCACAAGCCATTTTATGCAACATAAACCGTTAGGTTGGCAGTCCAAGCGAGTGTTTCTTAAAATTTTAATTTGCCAAAAATCCTGTGAATTACTTAAAATCCCGTGGTTATCCATAATGATTATTATCAGTTAAACTATTACACTCTAACTTTTTATCTTTGCATTCGTTTAAGGCTATCATTATTAGAGACCGATTTTATCTGCTTTTACATTTACATTTAGTGGTCTTATGCAATATAATTTGTTTTGCATATTAGAGCATATTTTGGAGATGGGAGAATATTTTGCCTATTTTGCATAATTATTGTACGTAAAAGAATGACATTTTCTATTGTTGTTATTAAATGTGTATTAATTTTAACACTTAACCACACGAGTTGGTATTTTATACCACATTTAGTTTGAATTATTTTTTTTTTTTATTAAAAAAATTGTTAAATTTAAATATAAAACAAAAATTAAATTATTTTAACAATTAATAAAGTTATTAAAGTTTAAAATTTAAGACAGTAGGAAGGGCGGAGATAGAGTTTTTTTTATCTGTGCGCATTACTCAATCACATTCTACCTCCCGTTCTGAATTTTGAACTTTAAAGCTATTTATTTAAAACTGGTTATCAATGAGTTAAATTATTCTTAATTTAAATATTTAACTAATACCATTTAAGTTTCAAAACTTGATAAAGCTTTAGGAAATACTAAGTAACATACACATTTGAATATTGTCTAATATTGTATAATAACATAAACTAAAGTATCTCCAAAAACTAAAAAATTCAAAATTTTAATAATTTTAAAAGAAAACCAGTGTCTTATCCTTATGAGTCACCTGTAAATTAATTACCAAAGAAATGGTGAGCTTTAGTAATAATCGATATAATTCTTTAACTTAACATTATGTTGATATTTAGTTTGTTGTTTTAATTAAACATGCTATTTAGAGAAATTTGTTTTATTAGTTCTTATGTCTTTCAGGAATAAAATGTTTTCTAATTGATTTTATAACCTCGCAATAAAGTAATATTATGCAATAATAATTTTTTTCTTTGTTAAAACTGTATATTTTTTTGTTTCAATCGATCAGTTCAAAATTTTATATATTTGTGTTACATACACGTAGATTGGATTTTTAGGTTTTTACATAGTTATTAATTTTATACAGCTTTACGGGGGTGCAAAATTGTTTAGCTCTTCAAATTTTAATTTCATCGTAGAACGTTTTATACTATTTACTTTGTTTTAAAAAAACTAATTGTAAAACTTGAACCGATATTCGTTTATAAACGCAATGGCCCCTAAGATAGGGTTGTTGATTTTATTTTATTTTATATTGGTACAGGCGCAATGACACTTGAGTATATTTTCACCCTTAAAATGAAACAATGTAGTTCTCATATGACAATAGAAGGTTGATTTTATTTTCAAATAATATTTAGAACAAGACATTTAAAATAGTTTTTTTTTTAATAAATTAAAAAATCACGTAATTGAACTAACTCTAAACTGTTGTTCGACATAGTTAAACATTGTATTGCTTGATTTTTGATTTGACAATATTGTGATTTAAAAACTACATAGGTACATTTTTAACATTAAAACAACTACGAACTACGATTTGTTAATGAACAGGTACCTACTTAAATTTATATTAAAAATGATTGCTTAACAGATTAATGATTGTAAAATGTGATATCTTGTGCTGGTGATAGGATCCAAAAATAAACGCAATAATATTCAGTTACGTGAAAAAAAAAATTATTATAATGACTAGACGATAAGTGATAACTACTGGTGTAAACGTAGATTCATTCGAAAATCTAATAAATTCGAAGGTAGGTTAACCCAAAGGTAAACTAAAAAAAAAAAAAATCCCTGATTTTACCCCAAAACGTATAATAATTATATTGTTTATAGTGTATACCCTTTTAAAAACAGACGTGATAGGTAACAGTTGTGCGTCGCTTTAATTAAATAATATGTATAACATGTTCATCGACAAATGTGATATAGTATAGCCGTAGGTGGGGAGTCGTCTTTTGACCCGGTAGGGCAGGGGGTATAGCTTTTTATATTGTTTCAGATAGGATGATCTTATATATTTTTGACGGCATTCGAACGATAAAAGTAATTTGGAAAACGAAGGAATGTTTCGAAAACGTTAATCGCGCAATAGGTAGGTATTATATTTCATAATTGCGGAACTTGTTGATGATGTCAGCGTTTGATTTTGCGTCCCATTTGACGTTGCTGGCGCCCAAGTTCACTCCGCCTTCGGACGCTCTCCTGGAAGCAACCGACCCCGAAGACGGCCCTTCTCCGCCAGGCAACATCCTGTCTTTGGTTTTCATGTTGGCCCAGTGCATGGACTAGAAAATACAAAATTAATAATAAGGAAATCAGCTTGTTTTGATCTTAAATTTGTCACAAATATACCTAAACGTTAAAAACCTGACTTGAAATTATTATTGTAGTATCTACAAGTAGGCACTACCTACTTAAAGCATTTAAGTAAGCATACTGCATATAACACGATGAAAAAACAGTAATAATGGAGTTCTCCAGTTAAAACGACACTTGTTCCTTTGATAACAATTAACACCTAATATTCATAACATGTATAACATATTTTATAACAAACTGAAAGTTGTAAAAAAAAGGTTGCCCTTTAACACTTTGTATTTATCTTCACTTATGGCCATTGGCCGGACCCAAATAAGTGTATCATGCTTTGTGCTTTATACGCAATGCTAGAAACTGTTTGTTTAATTGTATAGTTTGTTGTTTTCAAGTTTTAATAGACAAAATGCGTTTGAAATCATATTCAAGAAAGTTTGTTTTTTTATCAAAACATATCTGATAGATAGAAAAAAATTATCACTCCCTTTAAATACGCCACCATCGAAAGTTGTAATATATAGCAGGATAAATATATTCGATTTAAACGGATTATTTCTACCCAAAAGGATTAAAACATACAAAAAAATATTAAAACATACAAAGTCTGACATAAACTTTTTTTAACCGCACGATAAAATTTATATATAATCTGCGGTTTAGTCCGAAAAAGGTCAACGTGTGACTTTTTGTAACTTATGACAAATAACGTTGTAAGTTTCATTTTCCTACAGATTCATGATACTACGGAAAAAACTTTTATAAGCCTCGTTTATTCATATCAATCTTGTATTTTTTTTAAGAGGGATAGTATATTACAGTGTTTGTGATAAATATATTGGTTTTGTCTACATGCGACTACAGTGTTTGTAGTTACAGTATTTCTATATAAGTAATTCAATAAAACTCTTAATTTCTGACAGAGAGCTAGTAATGTTCAATCGCACACACCTGTAAAAAATTTGTTTGAGTACACCCATATAGCTAAAAAAATTGTTTAAAACCAGTTATGGACAACAGAAGATTTTGTTTACGTTCTGTTTTTAAACCGGTAATAATGAAATTTTATAGTATTCACAGGCATCGGAACTACTGAGATGGGATATTATTGGAGTTAAACATTGTCGTTGAGGGGGGTAAGATTTAATAGGGTTTGTCGTGGTTTTTGTATGTTTTCTAAGTTTTTCTCTATATTTTCTCTTTTTCCTTAGAGATTTGTGCTTTATTGTGGACAACACTGAGCGGTGGTCATATAGTGCTGACGACATACCGGACGTGAGTGTTAACTCGACCATTTGGAGAACTCTTGCCAAATTTGGGAGGGGGGATTAAGCTTTTATTGCTGTTCTGCACATGGGTATACGTCTCGTGGCATCGAGTCGTACAGTTACAAACGACTTTTTTTTATAATAAATGGCTGGCGTAGGTATTCATGCGTGCGATTTTAAAGCTTGTATTACGTATCATGTATTATATTATATAAATAGGTATATTATAACAATATTATTGTGTATTTCAAGTGCCGGTCCGTATATAAGCACCGTAGTCTTGCCACTAACGATTGAACATTTTATACCGATCAAAAACGATAAAGAAAAAAAAAACCAGTACATGTCATTCCATGCCAAATCACCTAATGTGTGTGTGAGTGGATTTTCTAAATGCCTTAAACTTATATATCCTATGCTAATACTTCCATAAAATCGAAAAAGGGGTTAAAAGTTGTTATGCGTAGTTCTAAAATACAATAATTAAAAAATTCAAGTTCTTACTACTCCTAGTAAAAATAAGTCTCCATCGCCAAACTGTTACCAGATGTTCTATATACATATAAGTATGTGCTGTACATATTTCAGAATTTTTAATTCAAGTCCTAAAAAGTTATAGGCTCTTAAATATTGCACTTTTTAGTAAAATACCAAACTTTGAAGTTACTTATACATTATAAATAAAAAATTGTCCAAAAAATATTATGAACTAAAAGAATCTAATTGGATGTTTCAGATTATATTTTTTTTTAATTTCGACCTTGAGTCAGCCTAAAAATTTAATGAAATTTATAACATGTTGACATTGTTTTTCAATTTTTTAGCTACTTAAAATGTTGAAAAACAAATTGTTTACGGATATTATGAAAAAGAACACTTAAATTACAATTATTCAGTGAAAATTCCATTTCGATAAAATAATTAGTCATTAAGTAATGTGATCGTTTTTACAATAAATTTACAGATTATAGCATCGCCTAAGTCCAAAAAGTTTTTTTTAAATTGTTTTTTCTACTTTTCGATTTTATGGAACTATTTGAATAGGATACATATGTTTAAGTTATTTAGAAAATCCACTTGCACACACATCTGTCATCAGGGGATTTGGCATGGAATGACCCCAATACATATTATTTTGTATTTATAAATTTATGACAAGTCCGCCACAACATTTGAGGCGTCATGACAGTGGAATATTTAAGGCTCCACGCAAATATCCACTTAATAATATGCAATAACACACGTAATATGGTATAAGTGTACCTATACATGTTCATTAGTGAGGTCTAGCCTAAATAATATCTGACAAGATTATTTAAAATGTATAGTTGTGAAAAAAACCAGAAACATTTTTTTTGCTGAAGATTTCCGGTACATCATAACTTTTGTGTACACACAATTAAATTACATTATTGACCGACCTGAGCTATAGAACTCTAGTAAGTTCAAACCCCCTACATACCATTATCGAACGTTTTATGTGGAATATTATAATCTAAATAATTTTTATTGAATTTAGTCCGAAGAATAATTTTGATGATTTTTCATTCGATATTTTAAGTAAATTTAAATCGGTCTTATTGAAGTAGTCGGACAACAATTATTAATTATTGTACTGTATTTATGTCCTTAATAGTTTAAATTACCAAACCAAAAATGTCGTACCTGTTGAAAGTGTTCTTTGTTGTTCAGCCATGTTTTGTAGCTGACCGCCACACCGCTGTTCTTCCATTTATCGTAAGTGGCCCGTTTCTCTGGATCGCAAAGTGTTTCTTTTGCTTCCTGCAAACAAACAGCCTCAGTCGTTTTACAATATCGGATGTCGAATGCAATGCGAGCCCTAAAATACTTTATAATACTTACATTGAGTTTCTGAAATATCTCCTCGGACGTTTTGTCACCGGCGTTTTTGTCAGGATGATATTGCAGAGCTCTCACTTTGAACTCTGCATTTATTTGCTCCACCTGTTTAAATAATAGTAAAAAATGTGTAATACCATAATATGATAGTCGGATGAATGTAGATTACCTAACCTAACCCTATGGCGGCGGCCGTATCGACTATTGTTCATTGTAGTCGCGTTCCGTATCGTATAAAGGCCGTAAAGGCGTAATTAAACTATAACGGTTTTAAGGAATAGTCAATAAAAAAGTTACGGTCGTATAATGTTATTTTGGAGCCGACCAAAACGTAATCCGATACAATTAAAAAAAAAAACGTTGTCGATAAAAACGGAATTTACTGGATCATATTATTAATTGTCAATCGTTTTTAAAGTTTTTCATAGATGCTGGAAAAACAGAAACGCAAATGTTTTAGAATGCCCCTAAAAACGGGTCACGAATAACGTACAGTTGGTCGATACAATCTTCAACGGAAGTGTACATACACTCAATAGGAGAGCCACTTTGAAAAAATAATAAAAATACCGTTGGGTACTCGTGTAAAATTATATTGGTAGCCATATTTCAACCGTTTTCTTAGCTTTTTTCACAAAATAAAGTAACATTTTATTTTTACCCACAACCGCTGGTTTAGGCTCTAACACTTGAGTACCTACAACATAATATTCGCATTCGTTAGCTTTAAAAATTATTAACGTTGTGTTTTAGCCGTTTGTTTTAGCTTAATGCGATATTATAATTTTAGATTTCTAAGTCCTCTTTATAACAAATTAACCAGGCTACCGAATCCGCATAGGTTAGTAGACATACTTAATAGATTGCAGAATGAAATATATTTAAATTAATTATAGAAAACTTATTTTTCTCTCATCGGTCTTCATATATTTGTATACTCGTTGTATGTGTATAACAAAACGAAAATATGGTTGAAAATGAGTTTGAGAGGTATAAGTCAACGGCAGGGATCAAGTTTCATGTTTCATCGCAAATTGAATAAGTTGGATAAAAGTTGTTTGCCTTCAACTCGCAGATTTCACGTTCTTATTTCTTCGGGATGTCTGAAAGCGATTTCTTTGATAACATCATAGAACTTGCTAATGAAATGACGTATAGTCCATGCCTCTGTCTTACAGCAGTACTTTTTTCCCGGAGGCTTTATCGCAAAAATATCAAATGCTTAAAAGTCGTCCAGAGGATCTTCATGAGTAAATTTAAATTGTCATAATATGTGTAATGTGTTTAGTTTTCCAAAATCCAGTAGCCCATAAAATTTATGTTCGCAGTGTCCGACACAATGAAATGTTTTAAGACGAATATAGACAAGCGGCTTTTATCTACCTATTCAATCACAGTACCGGTGACAGTGTGGGTTAATAATATTGTTTAATGGGAAATTGTTGTGCTACTGTTGTAAAAACCGAACGAATATTGATCTTAAATGTATATCTTTACAAAATCGTAGCATACGAACATGTTGGTGAAAATTAAAAATTTAGACGCTAATATTTAAAAAAAAATGTTATCTACATGTTTATGGAATTAAAAATACGTGTTCCCAACTAAAAAAACAAAGTGCATACTTCTGTTACGTATAACTTATAAGGAATGAAAATAGTATTGAATAATAAAGCAAAATATGTCTAAAAGTATAGGAAAAAAAATAATTTTCAAAATATTTTATATTTACCGAGAAAATGCGTATCAGATTGATCAATCTATATAAAAACAAGTACGTGTTATGATCTAAGAACGTCGTTTATAATTTAAATAAATACCGCAAAGTTTATTAAATTAATTTTATGTCCATAAAATATGTGTTTACCTAGGTTTTGACCTACTTAAAATTTTGATTGACACAACGTGCAAAAAGTGATTGGTCTAAATGATTTTTTTTAATAACGACCGCGGCTGTGTTAATCATGTACCTATTAAAAGTAGTAGTCCATTGCACTATAGAATAGCAACTATATTAGTACGGAGCATCAATAATTGTAACCATTAAATTTTTAATATTATTCAAAAGCAATGGCTTATGATTAACGTTTCATCGATTTTTTTTAAGCGTCTTCGTTTTTCCATTGGTTAAAATAAGTAGTAATAAAACATTGCCTGGTATTCTCAGTCGGTTATTATTAACGATACTTTATAAAAACAGGTTTTTTCTCAAAAATTTACTACAAATATATTTTTAATGCGCATTCCATTTTTTTTTTTGGAATTTATAATAAGAGGCAAAGCAAAAATAAAGAATCACCCAAACCAAACACTGATTTTAGTTTGACAAACACCTAGTGTAAGATTATACCCGGTATGCAAATAATTTTATCATAAAGATTTATAACACTTTTTTCTTTTTCTGTGGCAATTAACTAATGTCGCTTATCGCAAAAGCACATAATAATATACAAACAAATTTCCAAAATGTAAAAGATTTGTTTTTTTTCGAGCTGACTAATAAAATTGTTCTACTATAATATCTTTTTTATTTATAATAAAATAATACAATGAAATTACGTTTTAATTAATTTTCTTCTCGTCATGAAAAATAATACACATTGAAGTGAGTAGACCTATTATTTGGCTACTTCAATTTTCAGAATAGCCTGTTAAACATAATATGTTGCTACAATCGTTTGTAATATGATATAATAATAATATGTACTTAGTTGTTCAACGTTTTTGACTCGACGGCTTTGTAATCTATGCCAAATTCAACTAGGTAACTTAAAATATAATTACATTCGCAGGTGTTTTGTTTCAAAGGGCTATAACACATTTGTTGAAAACTTATGTCGACAGTAAAATTAACATTGTATTCATATTTCATCCCAAGCACATAAGAGATGGGTATGGAATCCAATTTGCGCATTATCATAAAATCCGGTAGAAGATCTTTTTCTTTTTTAGCTTTCACCAAAACTGTTATTGAAGCTCAACAATTATAATATAAATATGAGAAGAAGAAAAATAAATAGTATTATATTATAGTGTAATAGTAATAATTAGCATTTATTACATTTTTTAAAGGTAAACAACTATTTAGTAATTTTATGAAAACAATCGGTTTTAGCGGATTTTTGGAATTTAATTTAGTATCGTTCATTTCGAAAAAAAAAAAAAATTGTTAATAGGATTTTGTTCATGAAATAGTAGAAAACACTTGAATTATAACATTATAATATTACATTATTTTTATATGATGAAGTGCCTCGGTATTTTGGATATTTTAAAACTATTTAGGCTATGGTCAACTATTAAGATGTGACATACATATTTATTTGAACAGAATTTTTCGAATTCGTGCGATTTCGTACAAGTTGATGGTGATGCGCTCTAGATATTATTTGAGCAGAGATAATCTAATCAATTTTTCACGTATGACTAATCTCTTTTGTACAGTCGATGAGCATAATTTCGCTTTTACACACAGATCAAAATGGTCGTTTGTGCAGCAAAAACTACCGTATTGCGTGCTAGGAACGTTTAACCGGGATTATAATTACTCTGGGCGTCTAATGCCTAATACATGAATAATTAAACCACTAGGTATCTAGCGTTTGTTGGAACTTGGAAACCAACGACCAAACAAGTTATGCCAAACGGTTTCCCTTGCGGTATTATGACAGAAAAAAATCTTCTGAATAATTTTTGCGTCACACGTCACTGTACCATAGTATGTATTATTATATATTACGATAAGGGATATTCCACGTTAACCAAACCGAATGATTAATCTGGAAGTTTTGTACATATTTTTAAATATAATAATAAAACCGCTCGGTCCTTTCGAACGTTTCGATTTCGGGATAAGACGACCCGTGTCGTCGTCACAATGAAAAATAAAATATTATAATATTTGTATGCCGTCTCTTTTTATTTTCTCAATCGTTTAGGCCTTTGAACGACGGTGCGGAAAACGGGAAAACAGGCAAAGAGAGCCGACGGGATATATTATTTTTATTAAAATCCAACGTCGACCGGATTCAATACCGTAAACAATATTACACACTTGCCCGCGGTAGGCGTATTTTGCTATTACATTATTATAATGTAGAGCTGTTGTCGTTGGTTTTTGTTGTTACTGCGAAACGCGCGTGGAGTGCGCTTAACACGATTATTGTACTTAGGTACGTATCAAACAGAGCCGGCCCGATGGCGATTTCCATTAAAACGACCGGCGCCGACGCCACATGTATGTATAACCCGTACGATGTGCATTCACTTTAACAGCTCCAAACCGCGTTACGCAACAGTTATTGCACAGTACCTAACATTATTGGCCGAGACGGTTCGTCCATTCGGCACCCCCGGGGCTAATCGAAAACGATAATATAGTTCAGGGGGTAAACAATTCAGATAGGCCAATACGACCGTAGGTACCCGGCCGTAGTCCAGAGAGACTTTTTGGAAATCTGGCTTTGGCTCTGCTCGGTAATTACCTTTCCCTCAGTTGCCGTGTATGAATTAATCCTAAGAGCCCGCGTATTGGATACGTCCCTTTGGGCTAAAAACCGCTATAATCTGACCACGCTCGCCATTGTGATTGTGCCGATAATAATCATTGTGTAGCCCCGTGCATCTCTTGCATCCAAGTCGACACCCTGGGAGGGCGGTTTACAAATAATTGCGTACTCCGGCCATGATCTACTGCTACATACATAGGTACTTATACATACGTATCGAGTCTAGACTATATATATCCTACCTATTTACAAGTATGGGTACGAGAGGACGTGACCGACAAACTATGTCGTTCGACCTGTTGACCGTTGTTTTTAGAGCTAAATACGCTGCAGGGTATAGTAATGGTGTTAACATGCGATTCTAGTGTGTGGATACATACCGTAGACGTCAGATCGCATCCCAACAGGGCGTAAAAATCGTCTTGGGCCGACTTGTCGTAGGACAGAATTTCGGAGACGGTCGTCATATTGTCGTCGTGTCGCCGCACGCCCTTTCGCAACTGTGCGCGTGACTCACTGACCCAGATGGTTGCCGCTGGTGTGGCTGTGTATATGAGCTATCGGCGGCTGCCATCTCACTCGGTCTCTCCCACCGCCTTCTCCTCCCACCGGTCACTGTCGGCTCCCTTCTCCGGCCGTGGCCGACGCGGCGCGCTTGTGTTTATTCGGCGACGGCCACCACCGCCATCGCGGTTGTTATGCGTTTTGTGAAAATCCGCTGGAAAGGCCGCCAAAGTCCGAATAATTACTGCTACCCTCTCTTCACCCCCCCCCCCCACCACCATTTGGCGTCCAATACACAACGGTGTAAATCCGATTGTATTCGGTACGATCCGAGAGAGATGGGGGGGTCCGCCGGTTTGTCCCGGGTGGGAAAAAAAAAACAAAACAGGGGTAGCCTATATCTATAATGATAACGTAGAATCGGGCGTAAGTCCGCGATAACGACTACGGCGGCTTGTCGCGGTCGTGATCGTTAAATGCAGCAGCAACACGTTCCCGTCCGGCCCGGCTAAAAACGATATCCATTGCCACCACTATCTCGCCTTTCACCTTCCGGCCGGTGCGCGTTACATCGTGTACGTCACGGATTTAATACGCTCTATCGAGCTGTATCGATTGATTCGGAAGCTCCTACCGGCGACCGCGTTCACAATAAGCGTATTGTAACAAACAAACAAATTTAATTACAGCGGATACATAGACGAACAATTTGTGAGATTTTGAGCTAAACTTATAAAATATTTTGTAGAAGCATGGTAATGTTTTAAAGCTTTGCCAATGATTAGTATAAGTAACTAATTTAATGAGTACAAGTACTTATAATTTAATAATTTGAGTAAACGAGTAAATAAATCTTTAAAATAAGTAAATTGAGTAAATAATTAAAAAACAAGTAAAAAATTTAAATAAATAAATCAAACACATAATTTGAGTAGAAGAGTAAACAAATCGAATGAACGAGAAAGCAAATCAAATAAATACAGAGTAAACCATTTGAGTAAATGAGTAAATAAATAGATAGAGTAAGTAAAAATAAATCAATAAATCAAGAGAGACATAAATCGAGTAAGTAATCTGAGTAAAAGAATAAACAAATGGTGTTAACTATAAACGATAAAATCGAGTAAATAAATTGAGTATACGAGTAAACAAATTTGCGCTAACGAGCAAATTAATTAAATAAAAGAGTAAGCAAATTAAATAAAAAATCGAGTAAATAATTTGAGTAAACGAGTAGACAAATCTAGCTAACGAGTAAAAAAATTTAAGATCATTGTACTGTTTGTTATAATTATTATATGTTGATTTGTAATCGTACTGCGTACATAGTAACAATCAAGGATGGGCTCATGGGCAGTATCTAAAATACGAGTATTTAATATACTTATTGTATTTTTTTAATCAAGATACTTCTTCAAGGTACTTTTCACATGCTAGTTTTGTACAGTCCCCTACCAGATCTCAATTATCTGATGAAGTATTTGAACAACTTATGTTCCTAAAAGACAAACAAGAGTGCAATATTACTTAATGATAAAGAGACTGTGATTATTTTATATGTATACAGGATGTTCCACAAAGATATGAGATAAATGAAATAACTTTTGTATAATAAATATTTTTAAAAATGTATTTTATTTTATTCATACTCATTTTTGCTATAAACACCACGGTTTTTATTGCTCTTAAATGTTTTACTTTTTTTAATTATTTAAAAAAAAAATTTATATTCAAGATATCTATTTTATTAAGAACAATATGCTGAACATTTTGAATGGCCGATAACCAGTTTTTGAGGATTACTTTTAAAGTTTAGGATGGGTAGAGGAAGTAATGCACGCAGATAATCTTAGTACATACATCACTATTTTCTTATTTTACTATGCAATCACGCTAATTGTAGGAAGCCAAGTTTTTATTAATTATTGCTATTACTTTTTTGAGATTTATACTTGTAATAATGACTACATTAAATATTAATAATTCAATATTTCTTAAAATTATGGCTACTTTTGTTAATTAATAGATTGCCGATAGGCAATAACATGATGTCAAGTATGCAAAGTTTAACTATAACACAAAAAAAGTAACAAAAAAAAAAAAGGTTAATGTTCATTACAGACTTTGTTATTTAGACTGGTATTTTGTATTTTATATCATTAAAAAAGATACTGTATCTTGTATCTTATTACTTAAGATACATGTATCTTGTATTTTGTATTTGGTCGAAAAGATACTGTATAATCAGGTAACAATATATATAACAATATATAAATAATAAATTACACATTAACGTGATGCGAAACATGTCTCGAATAAATTCCTCCGAACTTCCTCAATCGACTGTCGGTTTAAAAAAATTATCGTTTTAAATAAAAAAAGCGATATACCTATTCTGGGTTTTTGATCGAACCTATAGTAAATCCTACCGCCGTACGTTGTTGATAAAATATAGGTATTCGATTTTCGTCGCCTCTCGAGGTCAACCACAACACACAAGACGACTGTACGGTTCGGAAATTCTCGCATAAGTAAGGATGGAATTTTGTAGAGTCGAGAATCCACTATAGGAATCGCTTTCGGGCCAATCGAGTTACACGTCCGAACTGGAGGATAACAAGAACGGGGAAAACGTGACGTTTTTTTTTTTATTCTAGATACACTAAGAAAACCAAATATCAAAACATAAAAATCGGGTTATTTGTTAAATCTTTTACGGAGCCCGAACGATTCTCTTAAATCGTTTTTTTCGTTCAATGCGGCTTTCTTTAAAGTGCCTATTCGAGTCTACCGAAAGCTATAATATATTATTGGAATTATACGGACTCGTTCAGTCGGTCGCAAATGGATGTCGTGGAAGTGTGATAAAAAAATGGCTAAATACATTCATCACGCCTGCGTTTCGCGGAAAACTACCACTACTTTGCACCAGACGCTTTGACGATTTATATATTTTTTTATTTTTATTTTGGTCTCTCAAAAGCCGTAATTGTTTACCGTACCTAACAAATTACATAACTCATTAACGCGTGCGGCCGGTGATGACCGGGATAACGGTTAAATTATTTACTGTCAGATCGCGGCACTGTAATAGTTGTACCTAACAAATGAAACAACAACGTTAATATTAATAATATTGTAATTTGCATGTATTTTCACTACTACTATAATAAGCATATTTAGCGTAAATATCTTACAAACCGCTTACACGGAAATAACAGTCCACTATTGTCTCCAACTAAATTTAGAGGTTAAAGCATAAAGGGATTGTGTAATTTTTTTGAACCACTCTAGCTCGCTTCCCTACGATTCCATAAAAATTAATTCAACTCCTTAGAATGAAAAAAGAAATATTTTTTAAATTATTATTTTATTGTACGATTCAGTAATTATGAACCAGTAAATATCTTAAACGACTTCAGCTTTGATGTAATAATTGTGTGTACATTTTACTTATATGTGACAAATTATTTTTAAGACTATTTTTAAAAACTAAACATATTTTATTGAACTAAATTTTTTTAACGCAATACAATCATTATGTAGGGCTGATTTATATAAGAATGTAATTGAATTCGTTCAAACCTTTTATGACGACAGCGCGTGGATAATGTATAATATTTTCCTTTTCTTTTCCTAAGCTTATTGAGTTAATGAACTCATTAAGGGTTGTGTTTCGCCATAATTGTACACCTATTTGTATTTAGTACCTAAGTATTACTTTTGTAGAGCTTAGACCGTACTTTACAGGCTCAATAAAATTATTACCCTTACAAAAAAAAAAAAGTTCTATGGGGGTAAATTACTAATGAGATATTGGATTAGCTAAATTATAAAAATATGACTAAATAAATTATAATTTTAATTTATAGAAAACAGCTTAACCCACAAACTATTATGATTTAATAAAAAAAAATGTTTAAAAACAGACTAGTAAAATCAATTACAGTAAAATGGTTTAAAATTATTTATTAGATGTAATTACGTGTAACTCCGTAAAGACAATGTCGTTTTTGAGATTGATGTTAGTTGATCTTTAAAAATATCTGAAATATAAAATTATGTATTGCAAAAGAATACAATTTGGAATATTGTGGATGAAGCTGGTTTGGTTCTATGAGCTTCGATTTTAATTAATTTAAAATTAAGTATTTCATTATTTCAATAACACCAAATTTATATTGATTTCATAAATTATAACATTGCAAATTGCAAAATGCCATAAGAAAAATAAAAATAATAAATTATTGGTTCACCGAATGGAGTATTTTAAGTTTTTCATATATTCATTAAAAATTCAGAGCTGATAAGTATTAACACTATTTTTTTAAGTCGAGATATTGTTTGGAATGCTTGGCATAATAGTCAGTTAAATTGGTTTTGAATTTCACAAAGAAGTTTTATAACGGTTATGTGTCTGTGTTGCTTTTACTTTTTGTTTCTTAATCAATTATTCTTGTGTTGGGTATTAAATGGCTTTTAATGTACTTTCTGTGTTTCACGTTAAACTTTTTAGATATGATTGCATTTTTTAATTATAATTAAAAGTTGGTAATACATTTTTATCAGCGGTGTGGAAGAAAAAAGGTTTGAACATCAATTTTACTTTAAGAATTTCTACTTGTTAATCTTTTAAACTTGTAGATTCTTTTTTATAAAATTAATAATTACTGTTGTGATAAAGCGTTTAACTTTATATATCCCTCGTCCACTTTCCGTTGTCATTTATTATCTCCGCTTTCTTTTAACCTAAACTAAGCAAATGACTGATTATTAATTATATTACTTACCCCGCAGGATGAATACCATAAAATAATTCTCTCTTGTCTAATAGGAACTCTCAATTATTTTTTTTAAATTATAAATTCATCAATCTGTGTAATTTTTAGGTTAAAATTTTTTTTAGTAATGTAGTAAAATGAAACTGAATTTTACTTTTATACATATTTTTTTTTTGATAAACCTTAAACTGTTTTACAAATAACAGCGAGTAACTCAATAATAAATTGTTCTAACTTCTATTTAACTAATTATTGTTATTAATATAGTAT